TATTTCTAAAATTTAAAAATATACAGGATGTTCCATTAAAAAACGAATTTATAAACAACTTAATAGATAGATTAAATAGACAGTTATATAATAGATTAATGAAATGACGGAATATATGAAAATATTTTTATTAAATGGGTCGCTCTTCAAAACCCCTTTATTCAAATTTTCTTGATTCAGTTACCTTTGGTCCTCGAGATATTTCTAATTGGCCGTTTATCTGCCGCACCCCGTATATTCCTATTCTCAATATTCCTCTACGTTTTGTATTATAAGTCCGCCCATAAATTTTAATTTCCTGATGTTTTGTCTTTATCTAATCCCTAGTTAATCTCCAGGTACACATATCTTTCAAAATTACAAATACAGTTTGTTTGAGCGATTTCATAAACTACTTATCTTTCTAATAATTGTGTTCAGTTGAATTTTTTTTCTATGATTGTAATCAACGATAAAAATGTTTGCAAAAACTGTTTATTAAACGTACAATAATACATTTTCGCGTTCTAGTATATTTGCAGTTTTAAGGTAAGCTTAATAGTACTTACAGAATGTCAAATATGATAAGTATTTTTGATTGATAGTGTGAAATTATATATGAGAGGATACCGGAAACTGTAGTTATATTTGGAGTGCCTGTCGGCAAAAAGTTTATGATTGATACTCTCTTCAAACTTTGAGTATCACTTCAGTAGGCCAACTCAGACATAGTTTTCATCTGCGACTTCTTTTAGTTCTGGGGCGTCTCTTCTAATTTTCCCAAAACATGTCGATTTTACGACAAACGTAAATTAACGAAAATTTATAGCTTAAATAAATTAAATAGCTTAAAAATTATTTAAAAAAGAAAAAAATAAAATTGTCTGATGATAAGTAGGTCATTCAATGCGTCTGATGACTCAAACATCTCGGAAAAACTACTGTGACGAAATTGATAGATAACCAGCTAAATTTTTCAGGATACTTTCATAAACTGTTGGTTTTTTATTACGTTTCGAAATTTCCAGTAACTCTGATTTGAAGGCGTATTCCGGAAAATGGATATTATTTTTAACTAACCAATTTTTTATGCTCGGTACGTTCGACGATTTTTTTTTGCTTGTTTCTCTAAAATCTCCGAATGGTAAGGTGCATTATCTAAAACTGTAACTGATGGTTCACTCAGACTAGGTAACAGTTTCTCCCCAAGCCATTTATCAAACATATCTGCATTCATGTTTTCATGGTAATCAGCAGATTTGATTTTGAAGAAAAAATCAAATTTTCGTTTTCCAAAGAGCTTTCTTTCCCTCCTGTATGAAGAATGATGTGTCTTTTATCTCCGCTATCTGTGTGTTTTATTGATTTCACGCTGTTGTCTTGCAAAATTCTTTTAATTCCACCCTTTGCAAATATCCATGTCTCATCTAAGTATACGAATGTTGCAATACTCCTAGAATGTTTACGAGTTATTTTCTTGTCTTCGTGTCACAGTAAGATCATCTTGAGAATCTCTGACAGTCTTCATTACAGTTTTTAACTTACTTTCACTTATCCGGAGTGCGTCACAAACACGTTGATTTATACATAATAATGACTTTAAAGTTTCAACAATTGTCTCTTTCCCTGGTAAAGTATTTATGCACATTTGCAATTAATTCATCAATATCCAACTTACGTCTAAACATGATGGTCACTTGAAACTACACATTTGAATTACAATATACTGAGTTTAGATCAATATGACACAAACTTTCTAACTGTTGTGCTTGAATAATAATAATAATATAATTGCTTACAAAGATCCTAAATACATTAAGCAAATTAGTAAAACCGTACATAAACAAATGAAAATGTTTCCCACAATTATTTTATTTTCAGTACAAGTATATTCATTTGAAAATAAAAAGTTAAATATATTTATCAAAACCCTATCTTTAACCTTTACTTCGAAGTATTTTTGAACAAAAATTAAAAGTGATATTTTAGTACTTTATATTTTTACTTTGAATATATAAATTATCCTTAGCACGGTAGTATTTGTTTCAGAAAAAATTATTAAACAAGTAGGTGAAAGAAATTATGCAAGAATACCATTTATTAAAAAAAATGTAACAAAATATGCAAAACTACACTGCAGTGCAAAATTAACCGGACACCCAGATTTTTCTTAAAAACTGGCAGTTTAAAAAGTTTAAGATGTTCCCAATTGAGTATTTAATAAAAAACAAAATTTAAAAGTCAAATTTATCACAACTCAAGAAAGTTACACAGAAAAAACAATAAACAATTCAAAAAATTTGAAAATCTGCAACGAAACAAAAATTAATATTTTTTAAATATATGAACATTTTTATGGAAAACGATATTTAGTAGAGTGTATTACCCCACGATCCACAAGCAATAATTACGGCTCTCATTCGATCAGGTATATTCGGATTAAGGCAACAAAGTCTGAGTCTTGAGCTATTTGCTCCATTCGTCACGAACTGCTTGCTCCAAATCATTCATGGTTTCACACTCACCATGGTTATGTCGAATACGTCGTTCTAGAATATCCCATGCATGCTCTATTGGATTTAAGTCTGCACTCCTTGGAGGCCATGGTAATAAACGAATCCCAACTTAATCAAAGTAATCCTGTACAATTCTTACGATATGTGGACGAGCATTATCCTGCATCAGACGAAAGTTTTCTGCAACAAATGGGGCAAATGTTACTATATTATCTTCCAAACAATACTGAATATACCGTTGAGCGTTTAAATTACCCCCTTGAATTGTAACAAGTTCTGTATGAGCCTCTAGGGAAATGCCTGCCCACACCATTATAACACCTTCACTGAATTGAACTCTCGGAGTAAGACAACATTGTTGGTAGCGTTCACCAGCTCTTCTCCATATTCTAGGCCGTCCATCTGATGAGTATCTGTTAATCTTGATTCATCCGTGAAAAGCACAGCACTCCAATCGTCAACACCCAAATTAAGCTGTTTGCGAGCGAAGTGTAAACGTTCCCTCCGATGATCTGCTGTTCATAGAGATCCCTTGATAGGTATTCTGGACCTAAATCCATATTCATTAAAGCTTCTTCGAACGGTATAAACGAAAAATGTGTTTCTATGGACATGATTTAATCGTTGTATAAGCACTGGCGCTGATAATGTACGATCACGTAACGCTTGTAACCTAAGAAAGCGATGTTCAACTTGACTTATGGTTCTTCGTCTACCTTGAGCTGGCCTCCTGGTGTATTGTCCTTTTTCCTGAAATCTTTGTATTGCATCAAACACTGTGTTTCGAGAAATTCCTTAAGCATTTGCGACGTAACGAATGCTCCACCCATCATCCTGTAAAGCAACAGCTGGTGCTTCTTCTTCTGGTGTCATAGTTTTTTTAATGTAAGTTTTAAACAGGAGACAATACGAAAACGTACAGCCGAACTTATAATCAGGCACAGTACCACAATAAACTTAAATAATACTAATCCACTATTTCATATTAATAACAAAACGCATGTATAAAAGTGTTGTTGTTTGCGCAAAACATCTAAACAGGTTTAAACAAGAAAAAATCGTTATCACTAAGATGAGATAAAATACAATTCAATCAAATTAAACAAGTTTTGATCTAAACACCAACAAAAAACAAAAAAATAAAAGTGTCCGGTTAATTTTGCACCCCAGTGTATAAACAACGGGATAATGACACATATATTTATTTAATACCTAAAATTTAGCAAAGTGTTAAACATTATGGGGAACACCAGTGCAGTTTATTGTGCCATTTACTACAACAAAAGGTTTTCTGCGAATTCTGTTAGTCGTTTAGAGGTGTAGAGTCGTTCTAAGTTGGTTGAATGTACTGTAAGTTACGTTCAATCGAACGTCGAAATACGTGATTTAGTTTGTGACCAACATTTTTGTTACGCCCTGTATAGTGTATAACTTCATCATTTACATTTCACATAACTCTTGATCCTATTTTAATCTATATACTTGTCAAGATACAGTTAACTTTAAAATACAGAACGGTTATATTGTAAACTTCTAGTACAGTGATAGGAGTAATGGTTTTTGATTATGTTTTATTGTCAAACTGTTTCATTATCTAATTCCTTCTAAACTATCCCGATACTACGTATATCAATAGAATTTAAAATTTTTCGGTGTCAATCAAAAGGAATTAGAGTGGGAAGCAGATTTCAAGTTACTGTTCTATGATTATCTTGAGAGTAATGATTTAATTTAATCCACATCTTTATTTGCAAAAAATTTGTAAATGGGACACTTCTGCCGGAATACTTTAAATTTCTGCTGCTTTTCTAGATGCTCTGGATTATGAAGACATGTAGTGATGTATCTTCTTTAAGTGTCGACTTTGTTTCAAAGATAGATTAGGTTGTAAGGCTGTAGGTTGTAAGGCTGTAGGTATTTTTAAGACTGCTGTTGATTCTAAATATAGATGATTATTGCTGGTGTCCCATTCACGGATTTTTTTTAAACTGTAACATTCGCGGAAACTGTAATGCCTGTAATGTCTGTAACGTCCCATTTATCTTTCCTTATCATATATAATTTGTAGCAGAATTATAATTATAATTTATAAAAAATAAAGAAAAAAGTAAAAATCCGAAGATTTCCACTTGTTTGAAACCAACATTCAAATTCTTACTTAAATCTGTGCCTTCTACGATTTACAAAACAAGCAGACGATGAATGGACCGACATGGGGAATATAAAATTGCATTCCACATCATATCGATTTATCTAAGCAAGATCCTTTCATGAACTGGCTTTTAATACTCGCAATATGAGACGAAATTATAAAGATATAGAAGAGACAGTTAAGATTTGATTTCACCTATAGTGCCTCTGCAATTCGCTGTTTCATATATAGAGCTTCTTACTGAGTCGCTCTGATGAATCCTGAAAGAACGAAATACGTACAAGCCAATTGTAGAGGCACTATACGTGATCAATCTTAACTATCTTTTTTTATAATTTGAAATTTAATAACGGAAAAATTATTTTTTGCAGAATAAAATGGCAGATAGTGGACAGGCTAAAACCCTTCCCCAATACATTGCGGCTTTGTCCGGTAAGTAAGATGTTGATGTTTTTAGTTAAATAAAAAAATTAAATTTTGACAAACAAATATATAATAAAAGTGCTATTAGAACAGCTTTAATTTTGCGCGAAAAGTATTTCATAAACATATTTATTAGTAGTATAAACTTTAATCGTTTAATAGACTATAATTCGCCAACATAATAGAAAATATTACTGACTAGGTACTGTGTAACATCGTTTATATTTATTGTGTTCTTTTGATAAACGCTATTAATCTCAATGTACATAATTATAGACCTTGTATATTATTGTGGATTTTTCGAAACATTATATTAATTGTAAAAATATTATGTCATCATCATTCTGGCTTTACAACCCTGTGTAAGAAATGACAGTAAAATTTGTGATTGCGTGCTGATTTTCATGTACTTCGTTTTTTTGGTGTTTATTATTAAACCCATGTTTGTAGCCGATTCTTTTAGTGCTACCCATACCTCTCGCACACCGTTTCCCCTTCTCCCAACAATATTGATATCGTCAGCATAGACAAGGATTTGACTGGTTTGTTAAATATTCAACCGGTGGTTGTAAGTTGTGACATTCATATCTTTTTTTCCAGGGCCAGATTGAACAGCATACAGGCTCCCTGACGCAGCCCATTTGTTTTAAAATATTCATACAGTTATGCCTGGATTGTAATCTACATTCAACTTTTTCAAGAGTTGGTTTTGTTAAATTTACCAACTGATTTGGTACTCTTAGTTCTTTCGTTGATTGTTCTGAATATGTCTATTTATAGAGTCGTAGGCTGCTGCTATAAATAGGAGTACCTGGAAAGCTGGTACCATTATCACAGGTGAGCACTGAGAACGCTTCCGCACGGATCAGAATTGGCAGCACTACGTCGGAGGAATTCCTCATTGACACCGGGCTGAGACAAGGAAACCCTCTCGCCGCCCTGCTATTTAATTTTGCACTGGAACATGCGGTAAGGAAATCTCGACCACAACTGACAAGCGGATTTTCCGCCGAAGGATCAAAAATACTATTGGCGTTTGAGGATGACATGGACACAATTGCACAATCCACCAGAGATGAAAAAAAGTTTTGACCCTATTCGAAAATGGAGCTAAGGAAGTTGGTCTGAAGGTCAACGAGGACAATATCACACATGGTGGTTATGAAGAACCCACCACCTGTGGATCTTCACAGTATAGGCATTAAATGCAATGTTTTACAATATGCAGACGACTTCTGCTTTTACACTGTGAATAATTCGTACCAACAAAGTATTAACTCAATAAAAACGATTATTTGTGACGCAAGAGAGTATTTATTTAAACAAGGGTTTGAACTTACTACGAAGAAATCAGCTGTGGTGTTTTTTACGCGACATCGTTGACCAGTTATGTCCAGCATTAGGTTTAACAACCTTAGTATACCCGTTTACAATCACTGCACTTATCTTGGTATTACATTGGACACCAAGTTATCATGGGACGAACACATTAATAAGTGCTTAATGAAATGTGAGAAAAGTTTAAATATTCTTAAAGTAGTTAATCGCTATCCATGGGGAGCTGACCTTAAGATTAATTTAATGTTTTATTGTGCATACACCAGATTCATTCTCGACTATGGAAGATTTCTATACGGATCTGCCACAAACAGTCGTCTCAAAAAACTTCCGTCCTCAGTATAAGGCTCTGCGATTAGTTCTAGGTGCGCTCTTATCTACACCTAGAGAGAATCTTCTATCCGAATCTATGGAACTTTCCTTACATTTAAGACGACAATTTTAACCTGAAAAATTTATTCTCAAATACCAGTCTTACACTCAAACTGAGCTACTACAAAAAATATGAGATATTTCTGTGTCTAATCTAGTCGACAAATGGTGGCATAACAGGAATTCTCCTATTCTGGCAGTGGCATATCCTAACGTTTCTCAGGGTCTAAACACTCCGTGTGAATTAACTTTCTTTCAATCGAATTTCAATGTCTCTTATGCCAAAGTCAATGTTTGGTTCCTCAATTTTGACAATAAGAATCCAGTTGATTTTCAGCATCAGTTATCCAAGCTTAATAATCCATGCAGGATTTTCACTGATGGTTCTAAATCAAGATTGGAAGTCGGTTGTGCCGTATATATTCCGGATCACAAAGAATCTCTAATGTTCAAGTTAGATAAACAATGCTCTATATACTCTGCAGAAATGTTCGCACTTCATCAATCTCTAGAATGGGCTGTCAACAAAAAAATTTCGTACCACCAAGTTGTAATTATGTCAGATTCATTGTCTGCGTTATTAACTTTAGAAAACTTACGTAAACATTTATATAAAAATAGTCTTTTGGTTAAAATTTTAGAAAACTAACTATAGCTGCTGGAAGGGCATTCTACTGTAAATTTCGTCTGCGTAAAGGGACATTTTGGTATTTCTGTAATAAAAAAAAGTACGTAAATTAAAATCTCCTTAACTTCCTTCCAATTTACGCTAAATTTGTATCTACTAACGCTGTAGTCCCTATTTTTGTTTCCTGTAAAATATTTTAAATTGTATGAAATATATGTATATGTATAATGTTTTTTGTATTAGAAAATTATTTTAAAATAAAATCTAACATTTTTTTTTTTCGTTTTAGTATGTCTGGGAGCTGTAGCAGCTGGCGCTGTATTGGGCTGGACATCAAATGTTTCGAAGCAATTACAGGAGGGTGGCTTAAACGACCTTCTCATAGATGAAGACCAACTAGGATGGATTGGTTCCTTCGTGACATTAGGGGCGTTGGTAATGTGCTTTCCAATCGGCTACATTTGCGATTTAATCGGAAGAAAATGGGGATGTCTTCTAACACTTATACCTTTTACAGTTGGCTGGCTTTTAGTGATTTTTTCTTCTAGCGTCAGTGTAATTTACGTCGGAAGATTTTTGACAGGTTTAGCAGGTGGATCTTTTTGTGTAGCTGCTCCAATCTACAGCGCAGAAATCGCACAAACCAGCATCAGAGGAGCCTTGGGAAGCTATTTTCAGTTACTCTTGACCGTTGGAATTCTCATAGCATATGTTGGTGGTGCTTGGATGCATCCAAAGGACCTTGCTATACTCTCTGCCGTGATACCCATTGTTTTTGCAGTAGTCTTTTTCTCTCAACCGGAAACACCTATCTATTTAATGAAGAAGAACCGACCAGAAGAAGCTAAAAAAGCGTTGCAACGATTACGTGGAAGCTCATACGATTGCGATGCCGAACTGAAAGAAATACAGCTAAGTTTTGAACAGGGCACATCAGAAAAATCGTTTATGACAGTTTTAAAAACAAAAGCTGCCATTAAGGCTAGCTTGATTACATTTGGCCTGATGTTTTTCCAGCAAATGAGCGGTGTGAACGCTGTTATTTTTTACACTGCAGATATATTTTCAGCTTCTGGTTCAAGTTTGGAACCCGCCATAGGAACAATAATTGTTGGAATTCTTCAAACGTCAGCAACATTTGGTTCATCCTTGATTGTCGATAAGTTTGGACGAAAAATTTTATTATTGGTTTCTATTGGATTTATGGCAATTTCTGAGTTTGTTCTGGGGTTGTTCTTTACGTTTAAAGATAGAAATGTTTTAGATGAGGATCAGCTTTCTTCCATTGGATTTTTACCGATTATCTGTTTAGGTATTTTCATTGTAATGTTTTCAGTTGGTTTTGGGCCGATTCCATGGATGATATCTGCCGAATTAATGCCTGAAGAAATTAAATCCACTATGGTTTCAGCGGCAGCTACTTTTAATTGGTTTTTGGCCTTCATAGTGACCAAATTTTATGGAAATTTAAAGACAAGTATTGGAGGAGATGTAACATTTTATATTTTCTCTGGTGTATGTATTGCCGGCGTGGTTTTCGTCATGTTTTGCGTTCCAGAGACCAAAGGCAAGTCTGTTGCCGAAGTCCAGGCTCTTCTTAATGGTGATAAGACGACCCCGATAAACGAAAAAGAGGGTATTGATAATCCTACATTCGATAAAAACTAGGTTAAGTTTTAATATTTGTACCTGAATTTTGTACTAGAAAAATTTTAATTACTGACTTTCTTCAACATTGTTTATCTCGGATATTATAAATTTTTCCCAAACAAACTGTAGAATGTGACAAATAATATTTGTCTATTTTTTAACAGAAATCTTAGGCTGTAAGTGTACATTTGATAGTATTTTCTTAAAGAGGACTACATATGAACTGTAAATATTTATTTTATGATTTTACGACCTCTTAAAGACAGTATTATCATCTATACAATGTGAGCGTTTTGGTTGGAAACTTGAAAATGTTAATATTAGGTTAGGTTATGTTAAACATTTATTTTCAATAATCATTATAATGATGACGTAATAATGACATGATGATGACACCCAATATTTTTATTAATACGAGTAAATTTATATTTTAGCGTGTTATCAAAGAATATAGACGCATATATGCATCTATATTCTTTCGTATTATGTATTAAATTCAAAATGTATTTCCCTTAGACAAGAAAAGAGAGAGGACAGGTAACACTCATTTTAATAAACCTTCGAAAAGTGAAGCCAGTTTCGATGTGACCGCCATGTTTGGTGCTTATACGTTGCCCATTACTACCTCTCACAGGTTCCAGGTCTACTGATTTTTTAGATCTTCTAATTTCAACTTCAATTTACTGATTTACGATCTACTAAATAATGTGTAATGATAAAATCATGTTCACAAAGTGAGAATTATGTCAGCGTTCAATTATAAATTTTGAAAAAAATCTATTTATTGATATATATATATATATATATATATATATATATATATATATATATATATATCCATTATTCTCAATCTACTGTCCCCTCTCTTTCCTTGTCTAAGGTCAATCTAAAAAATTTTATACAATCTAAAAAACTACTTCTTGTTAGAAATTAAAACATCACCTTTTTGTTAAACATTGATAATAAAAATATATAAAAAAAACATCCTAAAACTGATACTATTTCAATCAAAATTGAAGCATCTTACTATTTATAGAATATTAATAGGATTTTTGTAAGAATAATAAAGATATCCCTATAAATATTCATTTAAAATAGATTTGGCATTACTATCTTGATTATATTCAGCAAATTAAGTTAATTAGTATTAATTATTTCCTGAATGTCATGTTTTTGAACTATATCGCTCATTGGTATTTTTTTTAGAATAAGCAAAATACAATTGATTGGTGTTGGCACAAACATTATTGAAAATAAAAGCAAACTTATATTTAAAATTTGACGTGTTTCAGCGTCACTTTTCAAGCTTATCTCAACTGAATATTTTAAAATTTCCAACCTAGATACCCACACTGTATATAGTTCTACATATATTTTATTGTATTTTAAATATGTTTATGTTGTATGCCATGTTTGATATTATTCATTGCTTAATTTATTATTTTATTTATAAAAATTAAAGATGAAAAAGTGATTTGTTTTGTTTATTACATCCCTTTGTATTTATATCAATCCCTTAGCTGCAAATATTAAACTGAGGCTCGCTACAGCCAAAAGAAAAAAGCAAAAGGCATAATTAATCATTAAAAAACTCAAAAATGATACAAGGGAAGCTTGTAAAGAAGAAATAATCAATAGGTTTTCTAATATGGCAACTGTGGATACTGTAGATAGACATAGTGTATTTACTATAGTGTATTTTTATGTATGAGAGAGTAATAAAACGTAATTAACTGTTGATACAGGTGACTCAATGAAAAACAGATATTTGTCAACAAGTTTACAGAAGTATATAGGAAAACAATTTTAAATTGAGTATGACCACCAGGTATAAAGGTTGGAGCAGAATAGAATACAATAGTTGTGAGGGTTACTAATCCCTAAATAAGGTTGCCAGTGTCGGAGTGATGGAGGTTAACAGGTACTAATGAATTTGCAAGAAATGTAAGATGTTTATTTTATTGGTTATATATAACCAATAAAAGTTTAATAAGTACCTACCTATTTGCAAAATAAAGTTTAATTCTTTAGATAAAATAAAACGTTTTATTTTATCTGAAATAAGTGCATTCCCCGAAGTAAGGGTTTCAACAATCAAACATTTAATTCTTTAATTCCAGGAATCTACGACAGTAATTGACTAGATAATTACCTTCTAAACTTATTCCACAGAAAATGTGATAGTGGGTTTTTCCATTTTGTAGGAAGGTCCTAGTGGCGTATTCAAAATTCTTAACAGTTCACTAGAAGTAGGTACTTCAGTTGCAAGGTGCAGTTTATTGTGTATACTAGTGTTATGGAAAATTTGAAAGTGCCGTGTAAACGCCGAAAAATTGGTCCTTTAACAGTTAATGAAAAAACATTAATATTTAATTGTTTTAAATCATTTACAGACAAACGTTTACGTGAAAGTGTTGATGAGACCGTTGAGTTAGTTAGCAGTACACTTGGTGTTGGGAAATCTACGATTTACAAAGTTATTAAAGAAGAGAAATGTGGTAGTTTTCAAATGCCACGTAATGCTCCAGGGAAACCAAAATTTCAAATAGAATATCATTTTAAAGAAGGACTTCGACGGAAAGTGCATGAATTCTTCTTTAGACAAGAATTTCCAACATTGGATAAAGTTCTTGTCTCAGTTCGAGATGATAAAGATTACCCAGAAATGAGTCGAAGTACGTTATGGAAACTTTTAAAAGAAATAGGCTTCCGCTGGAAAAAGAATCCCAAAAAGTCTATTTTATTAGAAAGAAGCGATATTGTCATATGGAGAAGACATTTTCTAAGAACCATAAAGGAAATATGAAACCAAAAAAGAAAAATATTTTATCTTGATGAAATATGGATCAACAAGGGTCATACACCAAATAAATTTTGGCAGGATGAAACTGTTACAAGTCAAAGGCACGCTTTTGTAAATAACTTATAAAATAGTAGTAAATCTACTGGTTTAAACCCACCATCAGGAAAGGGACGCAGGCTGATAATAGTACACATTGGCAGTTCAGACGGTTTTGTTGAAGGTGGTTTATTAACTTTTGAATCAACTCGTACCGGTGACTACCATGAAGACATGAACGCTGATGTCTTTCAAGAATGGTTCGAACAAATGATAGATCTTCTTCCTAAGAACTGTGTAATAGTAATAGATAATGCAAGTTATCACTCCAGACTTATAGAAGGACTGCCCACAACCAAGTGGTTAAAAAAACACTTGCAGAATTGGCTGAAGTCAAAAAATATTACGTACCATCCCGGATCTATAAGAAAGGAACTTTATTCGTAGTGTGCCCTTCATAAAGAAAAATTTAAAAAATACGAAATTGATGAAATTGCCAAAAATCGTGGAATGGCAGTACTTAGATCCCCACCATATCATTGTGAATTAAACCCGATTGAACTGGTATGGGCACAGATAAAGAGTGAAGTTTCAAGAAAAAATACCACTTTTAAAATTCATGATGTTAAACAGTTGTTTTTGGAGGCCGTAAATAATGTAAAACCTGAAAACTGGGAAAAGGCAGTAAATCACACTATTAAAGAAGAGGAAAAAATGTGGAAGCTGGACAATATTACTGATAAAATGATCGAGCCAGTTATTATAAATCTTGGTTCTGAAAGTTCATCTTCTGATTTGGATTTGTAACAAGTAGCTGTAAGTTTTATATTAATATTTTTATTCATCTATTTAACATACCTTAGACGGTTTTAAAAACTCTTTTTTTCTTTTGTAATTTTTAAAAATTAAAAAAAAATGGGAATTTTTTAAAACCCTTTTTAATGTAGGCCAGTCAGTTCTAATATAGAGTGTGATAAAAGAGGTCACTTTTGTTTACATACACATAACACTTTATAACACTGAAATAATTCATTTATTTTTTACAATTATTCAAAGTAATTTTTCAATTAATCTTGAGCACGCCCATGGAGTGGTCGGAGGTACCAGTTAGAATTATGCTAATTACTCTCTCGTTCATAAAAATAAACTATAGATAGATCTTTATTTAAATAGATAACCTATATTACAATATAAAGAAAGTACACTATACATTTTTGATATACTGTTTAAGTAACATTTTGAAATTATTGAGACTAGTACTAGACTAATTAAATTTAAGGAAGCTTTTAAAAAAGAGCGAATTCATCGTACTTTTATACATAGTTCTAGGTACATGTGTCATTTAAACCTCGGATATTGTTGAAAGAAATGAATTCTTAAAAATATTCAGGTGATAAACCATTTACTATTTTGAAGACCAAAATCATGGTAAAATAAAACAGTCTATTTTCAACAGAGAACCAATTTAGAGTATTTAACATCGTCCCAATTGGGGTACGGCGATTTGTTTTAAGAATTATTCTCATTCCACGGTTCTGTAATTTTTTTAGCATGTTAAGTTTGTTAAGGTTAAATAAATATAAAATTTATGAGCAATAGTTAAAATGAGGTTGAATATTTGTGTTATATAGGTACTGTTATTTTTGACTCCATTGACAAATTTTGAGATATTCTACCTAGAAAGTAAAGTTTTTAATATTTTTTTTATGAACGTACTCGAAGTGACTCTCAAAATTCAGAATATTGGTAAGTTGGAATCCTAAATATTTAACTGTTGTGACAATTTCAATTTTTTCATTATTAATATTTAAATTTATGATTTCAGAATCAAGCAAGCTACATTTATGTTTGGTAGTGAAAACCATTGCCTTTGTTTTTTCACATTTAACTTCAGTTTATTCATTTTTAAATATTTATTACCCATATCTAAAATAGAGTTTATTTTTTGAATAGCTAAATCAAAATTTTCATCACTACAACAGATTAGAGTATCATCGGCAAAAAGATTAATAAATTCACAAATTACAAAAATATTGATATCGTTAATGTACAGAATAAATAAAATATTGTAAATAATTTTCTAACCACGCAATTACTGTACCGCCTATACCATACAATTTAAATTTAGAAATCGTTATTGTCCTGTCAATGGTCTCAAAAGCTCTTTTTAATTCAAGAAATGCACCGACTACGTACTTATTTTTATCTAAAGTACTCTTTATGTGACATAATATAACTTGTAACGCTGATTCACAAGAGAATTGTTTACGAAAACCTGATTGATTATTAATTAAAATTTTATTTTTTGTTACATGTTCTAATAATTGTTCATAAACAGCAATTTCTAATATTTTCTCTATAAGAGGTAAAGTATTAATTGGTCGGAATTCTTCAGCTTTGATAGTGTTGGGTATTTTTGGATAGGGGTGATAGTACTTATTTTTAATTAGTACTATCAGGAAATCAGGAATTCTACCCGTAGTAAGACATGCATTAATTAAATTTAATGTAACGTCCCCAATGGTTTCAAAAACTTCTTTTGCCATTCTGCAAATTAACGTTTCATGTAGTGAGAATTTATCTTACTAAATTGCCAACAATTTTTCGCAAATCCTGCATAGAGAGCTCTTCAAATCTTTCAAAATTGAAATATAGATTACTATTTACATTACACTATGTTTCAGAATACTTTGAACAATACTTTCAATGTTTTCAACAAAATACTCATTAAACTACTAGCTATTTATACGCTGTTTGTTAACCGTTTTAGTAACAGTAGAAACAGTAGTAGTTTCAAAGATTACAGTGTTTGTCATTTCTCGACTATTATCATTGATTAATTTTTTTGGAATTAAAAAAGCCATGGACCAAATTAAAAAGCCATGGACCTACATAAAAGATTTATTTGATCATGTGAACAACACTTTTTTTCTGACATAAAACAGCTACCGAGAACGATTGGATGAAAGAATAAATGTTAGAGATGATGGAACAATGCAGGCAACGTAAGGTCAGCCAGGACCAAGTAGGGTACCGAAATATACCCAGCGAAATTGGTAAATAAGTTATAGCGGTGAAGGAGATCTGGATGACTACACTTTGCACCGAAGCTGAAAACCTATATAAACTCGGCGAAAGTTTCAATAGACACAAGAAAATTAAGAAAATTGTTGGGATCTTTAATAAAAAGCAAGTAAAGTAACTTAATCACCATTAGTAAAGTATACATAATCACCAAGATGAACTAATAATGGACCTGCTTGGAAAATATCATCATCATAAGTGGCTCAAAAATCCGTTGTGAATATTGGCCTGCTCACAAAGAAGTCGCCACTTTTTTCGATTTCTGGCAACTTTCCTCCATCTTTTGACCTTTAGAATCTGCAGGTCTTCCTCCATATCATCAATACATCTCCTTCGTGGTCGTCCTCTACTTCTTGTTCCCTCTGGTTTTGAAAATGACAATCTCTTCGTGTATTCGTGATCTGACATCCTAGCATTGTGTCCAGCCCATCTTTGTCGCTGCCTTTAACGAATTTCACAATATCTGGATCGGTGTATAACAGATATAGTTCAAAATTGTATCTTCGGCGCCATAAAAATTTTACTCTCAACAATACCAAGAAGTCGTTCATCATTTTGAGATAAGGTTCACGTTTTAGCCCCATATATCAAAACCGGTCTTATTTAGGTCTTGTATATATTAAGCGTTACCGCTTTTTTTTAATTATTTCTGAATACCGTGAACTGTGCTATTGCTATGCGTCTTTTTATTTCGTCGTATGTCGTATATGTTGCTTTGCGTTGCGTTCTCTGACTTGCTCAAAGGTCTGGTTGTTAATTTGAATTCTCTGTTGGATATTTTGGGGATTTTTAGAAGCGAACAAATATTTGGTTTTTTCCTCGTTTACCATAAGTCCTAATTCACTTGCGGCTTCCGCAAGCCTTGTAAAACACTGCACCATGTCTCTCATACTTCTGTCCACTATTACTACATCGTCAACGAATGCGAGAATTTGCGTCTATCTATTAAAAATAGTTCCATTTATTCTAATATTTAATTGTCTGATTGCCTTTTCCAAGGCAATATTAAAGAGAAGACACGCCAGCGCGTCTCCCTGTCTTAGACCATTATTAATGTTACGGAATGTTAAGTTTTCCCCTTTAATTCTAACACATGAGCATTTTGCATTGTCAGTTGGGTCAACTTAAGTAAATTAAGTGGGTTTGCTATCATTGCATTATATAATAAAGTTCTTTTTACACTGCCATAGGCTGTTTTGAAGTCGACGAAGAGATGGTGTGTATCTACATATATATCAACATTATGTATATTCCAGTAACTTTTCTAGAATCTGCTTATGTGCTTGAATTTGTCGTGTAGTTGCCTTTCCAGCAGTAAAAATGCATTGATATTGATCAACAATATCCTTTATAGAATATTTAAGTCTTTCAAACAATACATTGCCGAAGATTTTATGCGCAGATGCTAACAGAGTAATGCCTTTATAGTTCTTACACTCCAGTTGATCACCCTTTTGACAAATATACATAACTAATTTCTTAAACGATTACAGTAACAAAAGCCACCATATTAGGAGACGATTTGAATGGCCTCAGTATTTTGAAAGCTGAGATTGTTTACGCTATCAAATAATTAAAAAGTAACCAAGCACCTGGATCAGATAATACGTAAACAGAAACAATCAAGTGAAGAATATCTAGACATTATTATGAAGATCTTTAACAATACCTACAGTACGGGCCAGATTACAACACATCCGAAGAATCAGATTCTGTCTGTCGTTTTAACCCCATCCAGATGGTCGTGTACTTACACCCCTACCATGAACAATTTTTTAATGCGTTTTTGGTGGAATCTAATGTGCTGTCTTTTAGAGGTTTTTTTCCAAGAACTTTTTAACTTAAAAAAATATATTGTATTTTTAACCAATGTAGTGGTACCCTTTTAAGTAGTGGTACTTTATAAATTTGACCATAGCACTGAGGATGGCTTTAGAAGCCGAAAGCCCTCAGCTAGGAATTAAATATTTTACACATTTCACAAATACTTTTCTTTTCCATTTATTCATTCATTCTTCATTAGCTTCTTCCGCTGGTGCATATACATTAATCATTCTCACGTTTTCCAGTTTAACTTTGAGTCATGGTGCAAATTCTGTCTGATATTGGTGTAAATGCGATACAGTTTTTTGGTTACTATAAACCCTACTCCTCTTTCACCTTGTCTGATTTCATTCCCGGAGTAGTGCAGCGAGAATCTATTTTTACGAATTTCTCCCTGGCTCTTCCATCTAATTTTCTGCAGTGCTAATATTTTAACTGCATATTTTAAAAATTTTTCTACTAAACTAATCGTAGATCCTGCCTTTAAGACGGTTCGCACATTTCAGGTTCCAAATTTTAAATCCATAATTAGGTTCATTTTACTTTGCTGTCTGTCTCATTGGTCATTTTATTCGCAACAATAGGTTTTTGCAAGGGAGGCTTCGTTTTGCATCGTATTCATCGGAGGACCAAAGCTCCCTTCTTCGTCATCCCTGACCCGACCTTCCACTGTAGATTCGTTACCCAATTTCCAGTGGTATTGATCAAGTTACCGGTATGCACCAACTGGGAGGTGAAGATAGTAATTGAGTTGGAGACGCTAAGTGATGCCAAAAGGACATTTTATCATGTATTTCACTTCACTACTTCTTTACACACCCTTTAAGATATCTAGTAGTAGTATTTCTGTAATATATTCCAGATACTCTGTTGTTGTCATGCACAGTTTTAAACATTTTTTTTAAGAATTTGTCTCCACAACTCCAATTTTTGTTTTAAATTCTTTTTAATATTTCCTGCTAACACTATATCATGAGTTCATTAAAAACTACCGAATATTAATGTACATATAGTCTTTCTGATATCTGATCTAACAATTTAAGAATGAATAAGGACTGGGCACTGACTACTTTCACAGTCTTTTGTCAGTCTCTGTGAAATTCATTCAGTCCCTCACACATCTGTCTTAACACTAGTTAATCTTCCCATACTTACCGGTGACTCATTTCTTATTAAATCTCTCGAGGAACTAATATGGTTTCTTAAGATTAATAAATACCATAAAAAGTCTAGTCGTGAGTCTAAAAATCATACGAACAAGCTAAATTTTGCTGAGAATATCATTTTTGGGACCCCAAAAAAGATGCAAAACAATTTACCACGCCTAATCATCAGCTTCCCCCTAAAACGAAAAAAAAATCGATTTACCAAAAATATATCCGCCGTAGAAAAAATTGTTTTGAAAAAAAAAATTGAATTGTTTTGAATACGGCGTACAGATTTTTAGTAAATCGATTTTTACTAGTTTCACTCTTTACAATGGTTGGGGGGTTAGGAAGAAGACGAGGGTTTTAGTAGTGGTAAAGGTTCTCTAGGGAGTAAGTTCAGTAGTATTTGTTTGTTTGTTTTTATATTTTTCAATCAGTTGCTTTTTTTTAATTTTTTTTTTATTTTGCATTTTATAATGCAAATTGCATCTATTGTTGAACTGCTTTGTATAAAACCAAATATGTAACACCAGGCAAAATGTAAACAGAGACTAATATACTGTTTTCCCATTCATTTTGTATTTGTCCCACTTTCATATTTCTACTAAACAAATCTATTTGTCAACGTGGTTTAGTTTAAAACTGTTGCTGTCTCCCAAAACTGTTAAAACTTCCCCTGTGTTATCTGCTTTACTGCTTTACTGTGTCTAAGTGCTTTACTTTCCTTTATTTTTTAGTGCAACTAGAAGTGCTTGAACAACTTCTTCATTTGTTATTTTGGTGACCACTGCTGTTACTGTATCTTATCTTTTCATCATCATGACCTGAATGATGGAATGCCTTTTTTATCAGCAGCATGTCTACCACGATTTGGCTAACACACTACCAATGTAGCCAAAGTCAAGTGTTACCTTGTACCTGCTTTTCTGTATAGGCCAGGATCCCTGCTGTAAGGACTACCCTATCAGCCAATGTACTGTTGCCCGTATCAGGAGGCATGCAGTTTATATGGGATAGAATGAGATAAAATCGTCAAAAGTGTTTCAAATTTTGAACTTGTTTGAATGCCATGTCTTTACTAATATCTACTAACAGTTATGCGAAGCAAAAAAGTAAAACAAAATTGTTGTCGACGCATAATATTTATTTACAGTAGATATGTACAAATGGAAGACTTAAAATTTAGTTATTCGGATTAAGTTATTGTTGTTGATGAGCTTTATGGTGTCTTTCGTGGTGCTTTTTGTGTCCTACAAAATAAATATTTTTAAAAATTAATATCTACTTTTAAAACAGTCATTGATTTATAGAATTTCTAATTATAATAAACAAAAAGCAATAAATAAATAATTATTTTAGATGGGTTTCAAATTTACCTTCGTGGTGTCTGGAACTCCAACTCCAGCCGTTACCGCTAGCACCTCCTAATAAACAGAAGATAAAAACAACGATGAAATCAATTATCCATTTAAAAATATCATTTATACTCCAAAAATTATTAACATAGTTTTTATCACACAGTTTGTAATGCAACGTTATGTCATTTATCAGTGACGTAGATCAGTGTTTCTTAACCTGCTCTTAATTAAGGTGGTTCTTTAAATTGTTTTTGATTTTCTACGGGTTTGCGGACTGAAAACGGTTAAGAAACGCTGACGTAGATCATTGACCCAGCCTGAATAAAATAAGTGCCTTGGATAAAACCGGTGGAAATAAAAGGCGGTTCAAGCGTAGCACTGACCCTGTTATCTTCCTTAGAGGAAGAGAGGCCCAAGAACACAGAAGATAATGTTATTTAAAATAATTTAATACATACCTTGTACACCCACGCCAATTCCTCCACCACCAACCAACTGACCTGTAAAATAATGTTTTAATAAAATAATGATTTTAAGTAAGTTCTGCAAAAGTTTTTTTTACTGTCGTCAATTCCTTTCTATCCTGTTATTTTATCCCACAGTATGACTAGTCCCAAAAACAGAGTTTGTGGCGTAGACGCTACAACTTTGAGTTATACATAAGTTTGGGTGAACCTGGCGTTGTAAAATGTATTAACTTAGCACGCCTTCGATGGATAGGGCATGTAATTAGACGAGATGAAGAGAACCGAGAAAAATTTTCGACCGAAGAGAACCACTGTGAAGACGATCCGGAGGAAGACCAGAACTTAGGTATCAAGATAACATAGAGGATGATCTAAAATCCATCGGAGTTAAAGGATGGAGAAGAATTGCCAGAGACATGGGCGAATGGGAGATTGGTCTGAAGAAGGCTTTGGCTCATTACGAGCTGTAATGCCACTGATGATGATGATGATGATGATGATGATGATCTATGACTAGTCAAATTTCCACCTCAAGTATTCGTAATTTGAGCCGATATGATTTTTTAAACATATTTTTTATATTAAAACAAGAGCAATAAATTGTAACGAAAAAGCTCATTTTCAATTAATTATTCCGTATAATGGTCGCAATTCGGCAGAAAGATGACTTATATACGAGAATCTTCACGATGTTCGATATAGCGAAAAATATATTGCAGAAATTACGATAAAGCAGGCGTTCGGAATAGTGAACTTGGCATTCTAGAACATACAGCCTAGTAGCGAATAGAAATGGACTAATCGAGATAATTCTATAATGATTATGTAATGAATCTGTAATATATAGTTGAATATACAGGATATTAGAAGACATAATTAATAATATGTACTCAGTTTTGATTTAAAATTGTCTTGGAAACGAGAAAAGGCCTATTCAATAGCCAAGTACTCATACAGAGATGCAAAAATATAAATCAAAATGTATAAATCTGAACAATTAATTTTAAAAATCACATGAAATAAGTATAGAAAAAGAGTAAGACAAGGCTGTACACTCTCACCTCCACTTTTCCGATGTATTTCTACTTCTTTGTATTCAGAATAAATATTTAAGGAAGCTTTAGCAATCAATAAGGCATGCAGGATTACTGTATTAGCGTCGAAGATGCAGTACTGAACAGATTAGAAAACTCGTATATTTCTGTAGTGATACCAATGAGTACTGAATTCCAATCGTGAAAATTATGGTTTGCAGCCATGATATTGGAATTGACCTTCCAGTTAGAATGACATATTCTTAAATCTTTCCAATATATTGATTATATTGAGTAAAATCGTGGATTCTATTCATTTCATGCTTAAGTCAGATCATGCTTAAACTCTTAAAAGCGTTTGAGATATCTGTATAAAGATGACTGTCTTATATCTCTAATCTCTATTCTCTCTATATTGGGCATATTTTTCGATGGTTTATCTTTTGGTTTTTTTTGTTAAGTACATTATTTCCATAACCAGAATTGTTGATTACCAAAAAGCGTTCGATAAAATAAAACATGACGAACTGATGAAAATATTAAATTCAATTGGTCTAGACAGCAGAGATCGCCGTATATTAAACAATATCTATTACGAACAAACTGCTGTTAGAGTTGGGGATCAGTTTAACAGACGACATAAAGATAAAAAGAGGTGTGCGACAGGGATGTATATTGTCCCCATTATTGTTCAATACATATTCAGAGTACATTATGAACCTAGCGCTAACGCATATAGACGAGGGAATACTTATAAACGGAGAACGATTGAATAACATAAGATACGCTGATGATGCTGTCATTTTTGCAGACAGTCTTGAAGATCTGCAGACACTTGTCTCCAGGGCGACACGATTTTAAAATCAAAAAAACCAAATACATGGTTTTAAGCAAAAATAGGATACCACCGACGACACGGTCCTAATTGCAGAGAGCGCACATGATCTCCAGACACTCTTAGATCGCGTCAGATCGATCGGAGAACAATACGGCCTCAGCATTAACGTCAAGAAAACAAAAACAATGATTGTCTCCAAAACATCCATCCATCCGCCCATGGCTTTAAACGTGAATGGTAACATTATCGAAAATGTCGAGAAATTTCAATATCTAGGGTGCTGGATAACGAAAGATATAGATCCAGACATAGAAATAAAATCGCGAATTGAACAAGCAAGAAATGTCTTTTTAAAAATGAAACAAATGTTTACGTCCCAAACACTCAATCTCAAAATCCGATACCGAATGCTGAAATGTTACGTTTACAGCACATTACTATATGGAATGGAGGTCTGGACCTTCAAAATCAACTCACTCAGGCGTTTGGAAAGTTTTGAAATGTGGTTATTTCGAAGGATGCTGAAAGTCCCCTGGACAGCGCATATGAGCAACGAGCAGGTCCTACACAAGATGGGTACCGACAGAGAACTCTTAAAAATAATGAAAACACGGAAAACCTCATATTTGGGACACATATACAGAAATGAGAAATACCAGCTACTGCAGCTTCTTATAGAGGGGAAGGTAGAAGGAAAACGTGGTCCTGGTAGACGGCAGGCGTCTTGGTTGAAGAACATTCGTGAGTGGACTGGTTTGGATTCTCAATCTTTAATAAGAAAAGCCAGGGACAGAAATGATTTTGCTGAGGTTATCGCCAACCTTCATTGAAGACGGCACCCAAAGAAGAAGAAGGATACCACCTGGTCAATTACTAGTTAACCACGATATAAAATTGGAAATAAAAGTTCGTTTACTAAAATGCTACGTATACTCCGTTCTTTTAATATGGCGTGGAGTCATGGACCTTAACTGAAGCATCACTAAAGAGACTCGAAGCATTTGAGATGTGGTGCTATAGACGCATGTTGAGGATTTCCTGGATAGACAGAGTTAGCAACGAAGAAGTACTATATAGAATGGGTAAAGAGCGCGAACTAGTCGTAACCATAAAACGTTGCAAACTGGAATACCTGGACCATATAAAGCGCAATGAACAACGATATGACCTATTTCGGACCATACATCAAGGTAAAGTGCTTGGGAAAAGAGGTCCAGGACGAAGAAGAATATCCTGGCTGCATAACCTGCGAAAATGGTTTAACTTAACCACTACCGGACTTTTCAGGGCAGCAGTCAACAAAGTCAGAATAGCCATGTTAGTGTCCAACATCCGTAACGGATAGGCACCATAAGAAGAAGTTTCCATAACCAGCATGCCCCTTTAAATTTTCGGTCATTGCGATTCCGATTGGTATTTTTTATATATCGAAAACTTCCTCTTCAAAGTTCATTTAATTTCATTTATTATTCGTGTAAATATTTTAATATTCACGCAAAGAAGTCTGAAAAAAAAACTGTTAAGATTTCTGTATGTGTATACTTACCGCTTCCACTTCCAGTTCCGGATCCACTTCCAGTGCCACCTCCGCTTGAACTACTGCCACCGCCTAGAAAATGTCATAGTTTTAATAAAAAAATCTAAGGACTGTTTTATTATAAATATAAACATTTCTGGTCCACTTATTTTCATCTACCTTCTCTGTGCGATAGTTTGGCTATCTAAGCTTATACTTAGATGATCTTCCTTAATCTTTATCCCTTTGGGCAAGGGCAATCTAATGAATTTCCTTTGTTATTTTTACTTAGTTGGAAAATGAATTAATTTGGTTTTATTAAGGATCCAACTTTTGTTTTTGGATCTTCTAATTTAAATTTTTGTATCTCTCGTGGCCCAATGCTTTACAATGTAGGTACATCGGAACGTTAAACATCCAATAAAGAAAAATAAAGTTACTGAACCTTGACCTTTGTTTGTCTAATACGAATTTATGAAAGTGATTACAAAATTGTTTAATACCTACCGAAAGTACCGCCCCAGCTCAAACCTCCTTTTCCGCTACCAGATCCGTTTCCGCCACCTATCAAAAATTAAAAAAAAATTAATATCGAAATAGGTATAGGTATATAAATAATTATCATCATTACAACAAACTATGTAACATTGTTTCTTACATTGTTAAAGCTAATGCCACTGTGTAGGCAACCTTTCACTCACCGACTATTTTAAAAAATATCGTTTGCCGTTAAATTCGTACAACGGAAAAATAATATCTATACACTAAAAAAACTTTTTGGTCCAACAAAACAAACACAATGACGACGTTTTTGATTTTATCATACTGTCAGCGTAACAGTTGATGACATGTTAGCTTATATGTCATAAATGTAAGTTGTGTAATCAGTTCTTAGATTGTCTTCCTCCATACTCTCATTCATTAGATTCCCTATTCAAAGGACATACAAAACGATGCTTAAAAGCAAGTTAAATGCACTACAGCTGCATCAGTTTTAGTCATTGCGTTTCTACTTCTTTATATTCTTATATTTTCATCAATTTTAGTTATTATAGCAATAAACCTTATCAAAATTAATGACTTTGTATAAAGGCGTCTATCTTTTCTAAGATCTGTCCTTGCAACATTATCTTTTTGTTTTTGTAATTCATTCTAATTTCTTTCTGTAATTTTGATGTTACTGTCTTACTATTATCTGTCACGGGATTTTTGTTTTCAAATGATATATAATATAATACATAATATTCATAAACCTGAATATTATTCAGATCTATGCTCCAACAAGTGAAAATCAGAGCAAGAAATCAAAAAGTTTTATAACAGCATAGATGAAATAATGCGACTGACAAAAAAAGCGAGATAACGATGACCATGGGTGACTTTAACGCCAAAATTGGTCGTGGTGCTGAAGGAGTCCACATAGGACCATACGGTCTCGGTACCAGAAACAATTGGGGAGATATACTTGTTCAATTTTGAGCAGAGAACATTCTCCTTTTCTTCCTAGCGTCTCTAATAACCTTTTCCGTCTCACTCATCCCTAGCTAGGACTTCACCTTACCTTTCTGTTTTCAGGCTTCATGTGATAACTTTCTAAATTAATAGGTCAAATTCCCTTCATTCTTTGTGTTCCAACTATCTCAAAATGTGTGCTTTGATTAATTCGACTATATTTTCCTTTCATTATATCGAATATATCGGGTGCAGTCTTCATCTCAATAATTCATTTTATTGGACTTAAAAATCTTCTTCTTCTAAAGAAAATGCTTTTTCAAATATCCTCCTTTATCTTAAACTTTTAAAGCACACTGTCTGGGCTACGTAATAAGTAACTACCGATCTATTCTGTATATTTTCTGATTGTCTGGCTACATAGTTTTTGGTGCTTCAGTATCTGCCGTTGTGTTTGTGACTCAAGAAGGTTTTGTTACCTGCTAGTATGCGCTCTCCTATTTTTATGTTTATCTTCATTCTTATGGTTACAATTACTGCTAGGTGTACGTGCATTTGAAGGGATGTACTTTCCCAAATGTGTAATTATTTGTTATATTCTTTTCTAGGACATATTATCCGATATTTTGTTTTTCTTTGATGAATTTTTAATCATCGTTTCATTACTTCCGTTACGAAATCTTTTTTTTTATTATTTATATTACCAATGACTGATCTAAAAATATCTTTTAAGTATACTTACCTCCAGTGCTTCCACTTCCACTTCCGCTTCCACTCTTACTTCCACCTCCGATTCCACCTCCGCTTACACTTCCGCTTCCACCTCCGTTTTCACTTCCGCTTTTGCCTCCGCTTCCGCCACCACTTACGCCTCCTTGTCCGCCCCAACTTCCATCCCAACTTCCGCTCCAACTTCCACCAGAGCTTCCACCTCCGCTTCCACCAGAGCTTCCACCTCCGCTTCCACTACCGCTTCCACCAGAGCTTCCACCTCCGCTTCCACTACCGCTTCCACCAGAGCTTCCTCCTCCGCTTCCACTACCGCTTCCACCAGAGCTTCCACCTCCGCTTCCACCTGCATTTCCACTTCCGCCGCCTACTAAAATTTAAAAAAGCATTTATTTAAAATGAATGTAATATTATTAATTACAGACATTACAAGTAAATAACAAGGATACAAATAAGTTAAATTAAGAATGAATTAGTTGCGATATTTGAAAGTAGATTTTTGTAAAATAATAAAAGTATTATCAAGCTGAATACATTTTCTCTAATTATTTACTGTCCAGAGCTGATAATGGGAATGTCATGATGATTTATAATAACTTGTTTCTATCTATTTCTTTTTTCTATATTTAAAAATATCAGATGTCTTTCTGTTTAGAGAGATCGCCTGTCCACCCGGATAGAAGATCCATCTGAACGCCTGATCCGTAAGTAAATAGGCTACATACGTTTACCAAATATGGACAAAAATTTAGTAATAGAAGTAAACACCTATGGAAGTACTTCTAATATATTTTTTTACAATGACTAACAGGTCTTATTTTCATTAAAATCCCATTAACCCAAAAATATCCTATTATGTTAACATTCAATAGTTACACTACCTTGACCATTACTCTTTTCAGTGCTTGCGTCATGTTTAGTGCTGCTTTCAGTTACGCTTCCGCTTCCGCTTCCGCTTCCGCTTCCGCTTCCGCTTCCACTTCCGCTTCCGCTTCCACTTCCACTTCCACTACCACCTGTTTTACTACCACCTAAAACGATGTAAGAATATATTTGTTTAATATCACTAAAGTATTACTAATTTAAGAATTTACAATGATTGTATCAAAAGGCAGAGAATAAACAAAAAATATATATTTAAAATAGATTTAAAATATATATATGAAAAATAAATATTTTTCAATGAATAAATTAAAAAAAAAGAGCACGAGAAACACCCGTGAGAAAAAAATTCGGTAATAGGCTTTACAATATTAGTAAAGGTGAGTTATAATCTTTGCTAACAGAAATATTTAAAACAGAGGCTTTAGTTAAAGTTTCAAGAGATAAATAATTGAAAAAAATTGTTGGTCAGTTGGTCAATAACAAGTAGAGTAGTGAGTAATGAACGATGTAGTGAGGAGATGTAGTAAAAGTCGATGCGTTGTGTGTATGTGTGTGAAATAAAAAATTAAGTTCACTCGAATCTTATTGAAAATGACTGAAAGCTTGTACTTTCCTTTAAACTTAAACTTAAACTACCCTTCGCTTAGACATACCTCCAATACTTATTCCAATGTCTCCACCGTTGTGTCCGTTTCCACTTCCACTTCCGCTTCCACTTCCGCCTCCGTTTCCACCCCAACTTCCGCTCCAACTTCCGCCCCAATTTCCACCCCAACCTCCGCTACCGCCTGCACTGCCGCTTCCACTTCCGCTACCACCACCTAAAGATATTTAAAAATAATATTTATTAACAATTTATTGAAGTAATGTCAATATATCATATTTACTTACGAATAAACCAAATGCAAAATAAACAAGCGAAATTTAGAATAATAAAGTATCTTGTAGACTTTTATAAAAGCACGAACTTTTAAGTTATAAAAACATATCTGGATTGTTCGTCTGGGATCATCATTCCTCAACCTCTTGCATCCTCTGTTGGATATAGGTCTCCTCCATGTTCTTCCACTGTTCTCTATCTCGCGCCTTCTGTATCCAATTTCCGACTGTTTTTCTCAAGTCGTCCATCCATCTTTTTGGTGGTCTGCCTCGGTGTCTTTTGTCTTCTCTGGGTCTCCATTCTATGAGTCTTTTGGTCCACCTATTATCATTTAAACGTGCTATATGTCCAGCCCATCTCCATTTGGCTTGTGCAATTTTTTCTATGACATCTGTCACTTTAGTCCTCTCTCTCACTATCCTATTTGGTACCATATCTTTTCTAGTTATTCCCAACATTGCTCTTTCCATTTTTCTTTGGGTTACTCTCAATTTATTTGCAGAATGTTTGGTTAAAGTTATTGTTTCGGAACCATATGTTATTACTGGCAGTATGCATTGGTTGTAAACCTTTTTCTTCAGGCAAATCGGTAGCGTTCCTTTTAGAATATCTCGCATCTTGCCAAATGCTGCCCATCACAAGCCTATGCGACGGTGGATCTCACAAGTTTGATTGTCTTTTCCTATTCCAATTTCATGTCCTAAATAGATATAGCTAAAGACCTGATGTACTTCGTTCCCATCTACCCTCATAACATCACTTGGAACTAAATTGGTCACGTATTTTGTTTTTTCAAAGTTTATGTTCAGGCCTATTTGTTCTATTGCCTGTTTTAGTTATTCCATCATTTTGTGAGCTTCATTTAAACTCTCGGCTATAATGACAATATCATCTGCAAAGCGCAAGTGGCTTAAGTATTCACCATCAATATTTATTCCCCTTTTAGCCCAATCTATTTTTTTAAAGGCATATTCCAGAGCTGAAGTGAATAGTTGGGGGGGGGGGGGGATGGTGTCGCCCTGTCTAATTCCTCGCTCAATTCTATATTTATCGGTAAAGTCATGGAGTTTAACGTCAGCCAGTTCGTCTGGGATAGAGAAAGGGTATTTTATAATGCTTTATAATTACTTGATTTTCAATCTCCTAACTTCGTAAAATAAATGAATCAGTTTCCAACAATAAAAAGAGTAATGTTTTCTTTACGGTTTCTACTTCTAATATATTTTCCTTGAGACGACTAACTAGAGTTATTTTCATTAAAATCCCCATAACCCCAAAATATCCGATTATGCTTACATTCAATAGTTACACTACCTTGTCCATTACTCTTTTCAGTATTTCCGCCATGTTCAGTGCTGCCTTCAGTTCCGCTTCCGCTTCCACTTCCACTACCACTTCCGCTTCCACTACCACCATTGCTTCCGCTGCCGCTACCACCTGTCTTGCCACCACCTAAAACGAATTAAGATATATTTGTTGAGTATCATTAGGGTAATACCAATTTAAGAATTTACAAGGATTATATCAAAAAGCTGTGAATAAACTAAACGAGGTATATTGAGTATAGGAATAAACTATCGTCTATTTTTTTCGTGGTATATGTTCGTATAAATTTTGTTTATAGTCTAATATATCGGCAGGCATTAAACCAGTTTTCTTCCTGTGTTTGTACAGCAAAAACAATTTGTACTTAACAAAATGAGTTACATCTTTTTAGAGATCTTTGTTTATCTTTTTTTTGTATTTTTAATCACCAATTTATGCTCAAAGCGTTTTGATAAATACAATTTTAATAAATGTGTATTCTGTCACTGAGATCCTAAGAATATTAAATAAACATTCACAATTATTAAGTAGACAAGATAATATTATAATTATAAAGCAGTGGAAATCGAACAGGATGGGGCAAGGTTTAGACACAATAAACTAGAAATCGAATAAAATTCCAAAGGTATTGGGGAGGTTGTCCTACAAAGCAAGAAATTATATGCTCGAGACCGAAAATGAAATGCAATCCATTTATTTAGCTTCCTAGAAGTAGGAATAGGTCCGATAGGTTACTTACCACCAATGTTGATGCTTATACCGCCATCTCCATTTCCATTTCCGTTTCCGCTACCACCTCCTTGTCCACTTCCTGATCCCTTACTAATAAAAGAATTAAAAGTTATATTTTTTTAAAAAATTTTATCTATTAAAGATACACATAATCACTTTTATTAGAGAATTTTAACTAATTAATTTTAATTTATTTCAAAGATAGTGTATATACAATATATATTGTAGATAAACTACAGGGGAATAACACGCCCAAACACCACCTACAAAATCCTTGCAAACATCTGCTAGAAAGAACCAAAACATACACAGAAAAAATCGTTGGAGATTATCAATGCGGATTTAGATCGGGCTGCTCTACTACTAACCAGATATTCACAATAAAACAGATAATGGAAAAATGCTGGGAGTTTGATCGTGAGCTTTAATTTGAGTAATTTGAGTAAAATAATTCAGTCACACGTGTTCATATCGTTTGAGTATTGTGGTACTAGATTGGTCATTTTTCAAGAACTATAAAATCTCCTTATTGACAAATGTAAGCAAAAATAAAAAATATTACACATTTTGGTATGTTTACTGTGCACAGAGATTATATTATAATTATAGTTTATTATGTCTACTACACACAAATCAATAAAATATGTTTCATTCAAATATGAATCACTGTGTAGTTGTAATCCGATCTTTCTTTATAGTTTATAGTTCTTTATAGTTTGTTTTATTTTTCGTTTCAGATGCCTTTTGTTTCCAAAAATTCGAACAAAAACGTTAATTTGCAATATTTAGACAACATAAATTCTGATGAATTATACAATTTTATGGAAAATATATCCGGTGTTAGTGAAGATCAATTAGACTTGTAGGATGATAAACGTCTTGATATTTACAATGGACCATTGCCCGATTTAATTCCTACATGTATGTATGAATGACGAAATGAGTGTGGATAAGAACAAGTTACAATACAAGAGCAGTTCCTTCAACATCAACTTCTAGTACTATCACACACGCAGAGAAGAATAAATCAAGATCCAAAGAAGTATTATGGAAGAAGAAGAATATTGGGAAGATACTATCAACCTTTGTAAGTAATACTAATTTGCCATTGTCGCAAGCATTTTCACAAGCTTAGAAACACTTTTTCAATACTTTTTTGATGACCAACTGATGGATGACTTCGATTTACAGAAGAAACACCTTCAGAAGTACTTAGGCACATGCATTATGACATCAGTCACTTGTATAAGTAATGTTCGGCTATCCTGGACCGAAATCGTAGGCTTGAAAATTATGCAAGATACTATGAGCCAAAGGAAATTTGAAACGATTCGAGTAAACTTACATTTCAATGACAATTTGGCTAATACAAATGGAGATAAATTATATAAGTTAAGACCAGTTGTTGATGCACTTTCGGCTACATTCTCGTCTATTCCCAAGGAAGAAATGTTATCTTTGGAAGAACAAATATGTTCCACAAAAGCTCGTCTCCACATAAAACAATATATCCCTTTAAAACCCCATAAATGGGGTTATAAACGTTTTGATTTATCAGGAGTTTCAGGCTTTTGTTACAAATTTGGGATATATACTGGTGCCGAAACTACTCCTAACAGGCGTTAGGATAAACCTGATTTTGGAGTAACTGGAAATTTTGTCATAATAATGGCACGAGAAATACCAACAAATTGCTTTTATAAGTTATATTTTGATAACTACTACATCTCTTTGCCAGTAATAGGCTATTTAGCTAAACAGCAGGGTATACGTGCCCTATGTACAAATAAGCAATGTTTATTGGACGGACAATAAAATGGTGGTATTTTTATCCTATTTTATAGGAACAGATCCTGTTCAGACCGTAAAGAGATATGATAGGAAGCAAAAAAATAAAATTGATATACCTTGTCCTGCAGTAATATTACAGTACAACCGTCATATGGGAGGAGTTGATCTCCTTGATAGTATTCTGTATTGATATAAAAGATGCGATCAACAAAATGGTATATGAGGCTCTTTTACAATTTATTAGATATGGCAGTTGTGAATGCTTGGTTGTTATAGAGAGGAGCTAACCGTGAAAAAATAAAGTGGATGAACTTGTCTGAATTTAAAATAGATATAGCTTGAACACTTATACTATTGGTCAATCATGTGTTCCAAAAAAAGGTAGATCATCTAGAGTACAGCAAGAAATAGAAATTAGAAAAAAGAAATGTAATGTAGCACCGTTGCCTCCATCAGATGCTCGAACTAACAACATAAGCCACGTTCCTACATGGGGTGATACACGAAGGCGTTGCAAATTTCCCAGTTGTAAGGCACAAGCATTTGTAGTGTGTGAGAAATGCTCTACATCATTATGTTTCAACAAACAGAACAACTGTTTCAAATTATTCCTACACAAAAAAATTACTTTCATATAGATATTAGATATAAGCTTAAAAGAGTGACTTACGTGTGATGATTTATATATGAATGAGACATTTTTTTGTCATTTTTGTAAACAATATGGAAAAAATATTTTTTTTGTCATTTTTCCCATTAAACATACCCCATTTTAAAGTCAAATATCACTGTTTGGTATTAAGGTTACCATTTTGCAAAAAAAGTGTCAGTAAGGAGAACAATTTCTTACGCAGATACTACAATTTCGATCTCTGTACAAACCGAATAGGCTATAATAACAAATGCAAGAAAAGGAAATAGTTAAAAGCCTTACTAAACTTTTTTTTGTAATAAAATGTCATATATTATTAATAATATTAAAAGTCTAAGGGCTGTTTTATAGCTCGGCTTAAAATATTACCATAAAGGAGTATTATAATTACAAAATAAAAAAGTTGAACTTACTGATCGCCAAAGATTCCACCAATTACTTTTCCAATTATTCCAGACAAGCCTCCAGAAGAAGCAGTCGTAGTTTCAACTTTAGGTGTGGTAACGCCATCGATGCCTAATAATCCCTTAACCCAAACTCCAATTTGAAGTAAAAAGCCATGATCAGATTTTAGTGATGACGACAAGTCCTCTTTACCACCGCTAGCATCTTTAACGGCAACATTAACTTCAATATATATATTTCCAACTATGGGAATATTGCGAAGTAGTACAGTTACATCTGGATTTAATAAACTTCCGATAATTTTTAATTTGTTCTTGGAGATTTCCTTAATAATGTCTCCAACTGACAAAAGATTTTTAACCAGTCCAAGAGTAACCAGAAGAGTTATTCCAACTGTTGAGGTCAAGAGTCCTACTAGGTGGATGAGAAGAGCTGGAAGTGATACTACAGTCTTTACAACCGATGCAAGCAGCAGTAATACTCTTACGATTAAGTTAAGTTTGAACATTTCTACGGATATTAAAAGGTCCAATATTGCACCAATGTTGACACCAAGTATTATCAACGTTCCACCTAGAATTTTCTCCAATGTTGAAACGAGTCCAGATAATAGTTCTCCAAGATTTAGTTGTTTTAAGACATTCAATAAGGCATTGAGATATACCTTAATCTCTATAGATACACCGTTGCCTTTGGCAGCAGCAAATTCAATAAGTGTTTGCAAAAGATCCTTAAGATCAAGTTTCTTTGAAATTAGTCCCAGAACTGCAACTAGTACTTTTACAACACCAGTAACTCCTGTTATTAAACCTCCTCCTAATTGTAAAATTACTGCCAAAAGAGTCTCCACGTCATTAAGAAGGCTTGCCAAAGGTGCCAGATCAATTTTACCTCCTAAAGAAAGAAGGATATTAATAAGAGCTTCGATACCGTTATCTGCACCTAGAATTCCATTTAGATCCAATGTCACGCCAGCCTTGATTAAAGCAGATACCCCACCAAGTTTTCCCACAATAATAGATAAACCTTCCAGAACAGTTATCAAAAATTCAATATCTCCTGTTATGTGAACTACAGTTGCAGTAAGTATTTTCGATAGACCATTTAGACTTCCTGAATGGAAATTTTGGATTTTCTGCCCAATTTTTAATAGTAGACTGAGACCAGCACTATTATCATGACTTAAGTCTAGATTTACAGACAATTTGATAACAAGTTGTCCTATTGCTGTTAATTGGGATTTACTTAGTGTTTTTATATTAAATTTAACTCCAATATTTAAGTTCAGCAGTCCTTTCAAGGAAACTAGACTTGAAAAGTAGTCTTCGAATGATTTACCGGAAGTCCAAAGGTGAGGATTATCACTGGATTCGATGTATATTCCGTTACCAGTCGTAATATCAAGGATAATACCTCCTCCATTGTTACCGTTTACTAACAGTGATATATTTGCATTGACATCGAAAATCCAAGCAACTCTGGCTTTTACATTGACGACGCCTACTAAAGATGTTGTTACGTTTAAATAGAATTCTAAACCTCCTGAAGGTTTTACAGATCCTCCTGTGCATTCTAAGTGGCAGGTCTTGTCATCGGCAGCTCGTTTGGTGAGATGGGAGATTTTAGAACTTGATTGGGGCGCAAAATATTTTGCTCGTTGGTAATCTGAAATTACAATAAAACTGTGTAAGGGGATTTTTTTAAATAAAAAAAAACAATTAAAAATCCATAGTACAGATGAAAGTATATTTAAAAAATCAATCAATGGTTTCAGCTACTTTACGCACTATAATTATTAGAGACAATGTATTAATTACAGTAAACCCCCGGTAATCCGGCCCCTGTCTAATGCAGTGCCCAGTAATCCGACATACCTATCGCTGTTGATTCGTGACTATTACGGAAGAAAAACTTTCTAACGATTCAACCTGCACAAGCCATTTAAATTCAGATTTTTACAAATAGTGAAAAATTTAGATCTTAGCCGGTCATAGATATACAATACAGATTATTCAGGACTTTGGTGGTTTCATGTAAGTAAAATTATGCACCTGGATGTGAGACGAGTGAATAACATGTTACCATGTCATGCTGGTCGTTAAAAAATCTAATAAACCACGTGCATTTAAAAACATTCATTAATCTGTACACTATGATGGCCACAAAGTGCGTAGATGCCAAAAAACCTTTTCAAAAAGTAGTTTAATGAATGCTTCCTGTCAAAAGATAAAATATGGTTGAATATATCATAATTTACCACAAAAGGTGTTTTTGCTTCTTGATAACACTCTTGGTCATCTGTCTGAAGAAGAACTAACAACAGAGAATAAATGCATCACTGCGATGTTTCAACTTTCACTAATTCACAAGATTACAAGAAAAACCTGCTTCCAAAAACCTTATCAAAGAAACAGCATATAGAAAAAACGTTAAATGAACTTAAAATGAAAGATTTGGTTTTTGCTCTTTGTAAATTTTGGAAAGCATTGCTCCTATCTATTACATCATTTACTATCGAAAAGCATTTGACTGCGTTAACCATCAAAAGATGATCGAAATTCTGAGAACAACTGGAGTTGACTTACGAATTATCTCAGAACTATACTGGCACCAAACGGTAACAATGGAAATAGAGCACACAACATCCGAAGATATACAAATCCGACGAGGAGTGAGACAGGGTTGCGTCTTGTCACCGCTACTGTTTAATAATTTGTATTCGAAGTCTGTATTCAGAGAAGCATTAGACGAGGTCCAAGGCGAAATTAAGATTAACAGAATCAGCATAGACAACATCAGATATGCTGATGATACCGTCTTAATAGCAAGCAACGCACAAGAACTACAAAATATAATAAATACGGTAGTTCACCACAGCTAAATGTTCGGTTTACATCTAAACGTTTCCAAAACTAAAACTTTAGTATTTTCAAAGACGCCAATAAACGTATATGTGTATGAAAAGGGTCAAATAATAGAACAGGTAAATTCCATAAAATATTTGGGAGTAAATATCAATAGACAGTGTAATCCAAAAAAAGTAATCCTATCAAGAATCGAACAAGCAAGGAAATCATTCATGAACATAAAAACATTTTTTACAAGATCAGACGTTACGTTTTTTCTGTCTTACTGTAGGGCTGTGAAAGTTGGACAATGGACTCTGAAATAGACAAAAAGAATAGATGCCTTTGAGATGTATATATTCAGAAGAATGTTGAGAATTCCATGGGTACAAAGAGTTACTAATGTTGAGGTACTTCATCGCATGTGTAAACAAATAGAATTACTAAGAATAATGAAAGAAAGTAGATTTGGAAATCTGGTGCCGTGGAATTGATATAAAGAAAAAATGTTCTTATTATACCAAACTATATAATAAATATTAAACCGGTTTTCGACAAGGAACATTAACAACTGACCAGCTATTCACAGTAAAAAAAATTATAAATAACTCGTGGGAATGCGACATTGACATCCACAACATATTCATAGATTTCAAACAGGCCTACGACTCAATTAATAGACACAAGTTATATTAAATATTGCATAGCTTTAACATACTATTAAAAGCAACAATGGACCCGCCATCAGCAATTGTCAGATTACCATATGTGATCACTGAATTCTCACTGAGAACTTTTCAATATTAATCAAAGTATTAAAGCAGAAAGACGGGCTGGAATCGACACTGTTCAACCTGTTCAATTTAAGTTTAAGATAAGTTTATTGACGTTTAGATTTCCATGTCGGAAATCGTTCTCAAAATACAAAGAGAACGATTTCCGAAGTGGAAATTGAAACGTCACTAAACTTATTTTAAACTTAAATTGTGGCTTATTCCCAATAAAAATAGTAATTGCTCAAATGACAAAATCAATCGAAACCTACATATCAATAAATGATCTACCTGCTTCTTCGAAACAGAATCTGAAAAGAATCATAACAAAAATGTTAACTCAGAAGTAGAATATCGTCACTAAAAATTATACATTTTTATGGACAAAGCTTACAAAAAGTCAGAAAATAGCAATAACAATTACATTTTTATTGTACATAAACGTATTGTAATTTCTTAGTTTTTTATTAAGAAACTCTTCTACTGAATAATATGGGCTTTCAAATAAATAGATAGGCTTTTGTCATTTTACGGAACTTGGGGAAAGATGTTGCAGATTTAAGTTGTAAAGGGAGACGGTTGTATAATTTTTTTTGCCGAATAGAATATAGATCTCTTCACTAACTTAGTGAACGGGATCGGTAAATAAACATCAAAGGTTGAATTTCTGGTGGAGTAATCATGATTATGTCTTGCTGGAAAGACACGGAATTAAGCAAACAGTTTCTAAAATATATAAAGAGGTAATCATTAAAATCGCGTGATTTTTTAAATAGCTTCTGCAATGTGTTTTTCTTCTGATGCCAAACAGATACCATATTGCTCCTTTTTGGAATTTAAAAATAACATTATTGACGTGACATTAACATCATTGATAACAAAATTGATATGACCATTTAAGGTTGCTGTCTATCAAAATACTCCTTTGAAGAGTTCCTTTATAGGAAAATTCTACTGTCTTAACCACGTTAAAAGAGAGTTGGACCAGGCTTTTATTTTAAGTAGATCCAAAGTTATAGTTGGATGCATGAAGAATTCCTATATTAGAGTTTCTCCCGCTATACTGCTATCATCAGCAAAAAGAAAAAAGTTTCCATCTATTTTTAAATTAGTGGTGTCATTTATAAAGATAATGAAAAGTAGAGGACCCAGTACTGAACCTCCACATACAATGATTTTGTGACCTGAGTCAGTATCCTTTTCTCTAACCAATTGTTTCCTATTCCCTAATTTAGAGATCTAAGATTGAAACCAATTCAAAGAATTACCTCGAATTCAGTAGAAATTTAATTTTTTTCAAAATTTCGTCATTCACCATCAAAAGCTTTGACATAGTCCCAAAAAATAGAGCCAATGTAAAGATTATTGTTGGGTGCTTGGTAAACTTAATGTAGCATAGATAAACTAGCATCACTGGTACATTTATTAGGTAAAAATCTAAACTAATTTTGTGATAAAATGGTGTTTTTAACGAGAAAGGACATAAGTTGGGCCATAAGAGAGGAAATAAGTCTTTCAATAACTTTGATAGTACCGCTAGTAAGGCAATAGGTCTATAGTTACAGGAATTCTATTTCACCACTCTTATGAAGAGGAATAATAATGACTGTCTTTAGGCACTTGTAAATATACCTGAAAAGTAATGCCAATAATAAGTGAAGGAGAAAAAGAACATGTCATCATGGAAACGAAAAGGAACAAAGCACTGGAAGAGATGGAATTCTGATAGAAATGTTGAAAGAAGGAGAAAGGGAAACGTTCCTCTATTTAAAACGTTTTTTAATAAATGTTCAGTTGAGGAAAATGTACATCAACAATGGAAAACTGCTAACACCATCTTGGATCTCAAAAATGGTAACACGTTTTTTTTTTAATTATCGGCCAACTTCGCTTCTTTCACAATTATACAAAACATTTACTAAAGTTATTACCAATAGGCTAACATGGAAATTTCATGAATACCAACCAATAGAACAGACTGAAGTTAGAAAAGACTACAGCACATAATACCACTTGTATACCCTAAAAATTCTAATAAAAAAGGTAAACGAATATAATCTTTCTTTCTCTTTAGCCTTTATAAATTATGAAAAAGCCTGTGATAGTGTGAAAAAAATAGAGAAATAATATTGACTGATTGGTCATTGCGAAAGGAATCTAGATGAAACCCAGTTTGGCTTTAGGGATTTAAGATAAGAAAGATATCATAACAAGGGCACATTCTTAGAGGAGACCGATATGCTTCATGGCATGACTAAAGAACTTACGTGATTAGACAGGAATACGCAATACCTAACAACCATTTCAACTAGATTAAAACTGCGAAGAATTTAGTCAAGTAATTCTTCTGAGAAGAAAAAGTACAGGAAATATGCTGAGAAACCGAATAAGACATGGAAATATCAAAATAAATAATATTTTATATATATATATATATATATATATATATATATATATATATATATATATATAATGTACTAAATATTAAATGTAATATATACGAAATAAACGAATGAACACTGAACGTAAAAATAGAATAAATGAAGGAGACTAGATTGATATAGATATAAAAGACAAATCTCCAAACGGTAGAAGAGGTATCAAATGACAGCGCAGAAGATGGAGTAACAACTTTCCATGGAGGAATCAATTTTCAATGATAAATATTGCTTTTACAGAGTATGAAGAGATCTTCACAAAAGATTTATTTGTGAATACTATTGGTAACATATTTTTTAATTTTTAAAAGAAAAATTTAAATTTTATAAAGATTATCGACAGAAACTTACCATGCCCCAAAGTGCTCCCTACGAGGATACAAAACAAAATCGAAGTGAACTGTTTTTTATCCATTTTCGATTTTGAACTGACTACAAACTCGCCCTTTGCCTTTTTATATGAAAAACTGGCCATTCGGGGAATGCCTGCGATGCACTTTATTATGCATATATTGTTTAAAGACATATTTTCGAATATGTTTACATCATAATGTAGCAATTTGTTACGATGTTATGTAAAATTACCATTAACTATTTGATAAAACTTATTCTAAACGTAAACTGTACAAATTAAATCGAACTAATAAAACAAAAGAATGCTCATGCGACATGTTCTACATTTTTTTTGTAAATTATGGGGACAAGGGTAAAGTTGTTAGAAAAAAATTTCAACTTATACATTTTTTAGTATTAGTTACAATATTTTTATAATTTTCTATATTATATTTCGGGTACACAGCATCATTTTATGTCTTATTTAGCTTTAGGAAAGGAAACTTTTAGCCAGTTGTTGTGGTCAATACAGAAAGTCTTTATTTTATCGTTTTTTTTTTATTCTTCTTCTTCTTCTTTTTATATAAAAATGACTGTCTGTTTTTCAATGTGCCTCCAGTAAGATGTCGTTCCATCGTTTTCGTGAACTTCCTACTGATCGTCTTCCTATTGGGGAATCGTCTTTTGCCGTCTTCACTACTCTATTTGTTGTCATTCGGCTCATATGATCATCCCATTCTACCTTTCTATTTCTTAACTAGTTCTTGATGTTCTCCACCTTGCATCTACGTCGTATATTTGTACTTCTAGCTCTGGCCCATAGTGTCTTACCATCATTTCTTCTGTGTTTTCATATCTGCTGGTTCTAACATCCTTTTTGTCCTCTCTGTGTCAGGTCTTGTTTCTGCCGCGTATGTCATTATTGGTCTGATGACTGTTTTGTAAATTCTGCCTTTCGTTTCTTTCCCGATACTTTAATTTCTCCATATTGTTTCATTTAAGGACGGATCTTTTAAGACGACAAAAGCGACGACAAATGACAATGAATATAGGAACCTGGAAGTTATTAAGCCTATATCGGCCTGGGGCCCTAACTCAGGTGGTCAAAGAACTTGAATCCAGAAACATGGACATAACTGCTTTACAAGAGATTAGATGTACTGGAGAAGGTACACTAAAAACTAATAAATCAGTAGTATTTTTCAGCGGAAGCGAACGAGAACATCAATTCGGCACTGGTTTTATAGTCAAAGAAAGTCTTGTGGGGTCAGTTTTAAATTTCAAACCCGTTAATGAAAAACTCTGTTATATCAGACTCAAAGGACAACTACATAACTATTCCCTAGTTACTGCTCATCCACCGACAGAGGAAAAGGAAGGGCATGTAAAAGATAACTTCTGCGAGAAACTAGAGGAACTGACAAATAATCTACCCAAACAGGACATGCATATTACCTTAGGAGGTTTCAATGCAAAGATTGGGAAGGAAGCAGCCTACAAACCAACAATAGGTAACGATAGTCTTCACGATGTCAGCAACGATAATGGAACAAGGTTAATAGACTATGCAGCGTCCCACAACCTACTAATAAAATCGACAATGTTCGAACACAAGAAAATACACAAACAAACATGGGTCTCCAACGACGGCGTCACAAGAAATCAGATCGATCATGTTCTAGTAGATGCCTGGAGGGGTAGTAACTGTCTAGACGTAAGAACCCCAAGAGGAGCTGATGGAGACACAGATCATTTTCTGGTAAAAGCGAAGATAAGGACAATAGCGTCCAAAAAAACACATAAGAATCCACAAACACAATTATGGAATACCGAAGTTCTATGTAATAAGGAGACAGAACAGAAATTTCAAAAGGCTATAAAAATCGTTCTAACACAGACAGAAGACTATAACAACATAGACTCAGCTTGGAAAAATATAGAATTAGCTCTGATAAGCGTATCAGATGAAATACTAGGACACAAAAAGAAAACAATAAAAAAATGGTTAGATGATAATTGCCTGAACTCCATAACAGCAAAAAATATGGCTAGAAGGAACATGTAACAAAACCCCTCGCACAACAACAATGAAATGTATAGACAAAGAAGAACAGAGACAAGAAAACAAATGAAAAGGAAGAAGAGAGAGTATCAAGAACAAATAATCAGAGATATAGAAGAAATAAAGCCCATTCAAATTATGAATATACTAGGCATGGTGAGTACGGAATATGGTTTGAAAATAAATATGCATAAATGCGTGATGATCATCGATATAATCAGAAACAACCAAGCAGAGATAAGAAACATGGCAGGTTACGAAGAGGCCAGGCAATTTAATTACTTAGGCTCCGTTATTACTAACAGTGGAGGATGCGAAGACGAGATCCATTGAGGCATCACAATGGCTAGATCAGCAACAGCCAAACTCACAAAAATTTGGAAGAACACTGACACCACAAAAAACACAAAATTGCGCCTTGTTCAAGCATTGATATTTCACCGATGCTCCAGAAACTTAGACAATCAAAAAAGCCGATTCAAAGCATATAATGGCATTTGAAATGTGGGTCTACCGTTGAATTTTGCCCATAGCACAAATAACTCAATTCTAGCAGAACTTAACATAAAAACTAGACTCATCACAACTATCAACCAAAATATACTGAGATATTTTGGACATATAACTAGAAGAAGAGAAGGTATGGAGCGAATGATAGTTGAAGGTAACGTAGCGGGTAAAAGATCCAGAGGAAGATCTCCAGTACGATGATCGGACCAAATAAAGGAGATGACTGGTTACTCATTCTCCGAAGCAAAATAACATGCACAGTATACTTAGAGATAATTGGACAAAAATATTTAAACAAATTACATGATACCACTGTTAAAACTTTCGAGCAACCCGTATACTACACTTTTAGTTAAGTACAACCCAACGTTCATTTTACACACCTTGAGAGGGGATGCAAGTAGTGGCGGGGAGAAGACAGTCAACACTCCGACAAGTCTCAAGACAACATCGTTTCGCTAAGGTCGCTATTTTTAAATTTATCGCTTACAAAATATTTTAAATGTGCTATTTTGTACTTCAATACTTTAAGTGATTTGTTTTTGTATCATTACTCTACATGAAATTCTAATAAGATATAACTTACATCCTACAGCCACTACATCCTTATATAAGGTTCTTGAACTCCTAAGTGGAGCATAGAGCTTCAGTGAAAACGCGCCATCGGGTTCTAAGTATTTTGCGCTAAGGCCTTCACCTCATTCCAAGACTTTTCTTGGCCTCTTATCTCGTCCGTGGTTTATCTGCTCCAAGTTTGTACTGAGCGACCTCTTTTTCTTTTCCCTTGGGGATTCCACTCTAGGACAGTCTTTGCTATACTGGAACTATTTTTTCGGAGTGTGTGACCGATCCAACCCCACTTTCTGGACTTAATTTCATTTTCTACCCTCTTTTGTTTGGTCAGGTGTAGCAGATCTTCGTTTCTGATGGTGTTAGGCCAGTGTTTGTCACTTTCCAGGTTTCACATCCGTAGAGTAGAACAGACATCACATTTGATCGGAATATTCGGATCTTTGTCCTTGTAGTATACTCGCCAGATCTCCAAACAGGGTTAAGCGTGCTGAAAGCTTGTTGGGCTTTTCATATCCTCATACGAATATCGTCTTCTGTACCTCCGTTTTCTGTTATGACACTTCCAAGATACCTAAAGTTTTCCACATTTTCAATCTGCATATTGTCGATAGGAAATAGCGTGTTGCTCCTTGCATTTATTCTCATGGACTTGGTTTTACTAATGTTGATTTTCAAACCTATTTTATTTGCTTCAGTGGAACTTCACTACATCCTTACGAAGGAGAAAATGTTGACGAGGATGTCATACACTTGTATGTAGGCTTAATGAGAAGTTGGTGAAAAAACACACTTTTAAAAACTATAACCTTTTATGACCAATAGGAAACCAGATAGCATTTTTTTTTCTTCAAACGATATGGTCATTGGTTATTAATATTAAGAGCTGAAACTTCAGCGAACTATACAAGAAGATCTAAATTTTTTGATCCAACTGATAGATGACATACACAGTAAAGAAGTAAACAGTTATAACCCGTTAAAATGATTGTACTCGTAAAATACCGCCACTGAAAAGTGGATGGGAGAAAAAATAACAAATTTGTTATAAATGTTTAGAATCTAATAAGCCCTTTTTAAAACTGTTTTTTAATAACAAATTTAAGCCACCCGTCATATACCTTTTGGAACCTTTAAATATCTGTAAAAGATATTTTCAGCTTTTTTCTTCATTGCCTGGATATATACCTACTATTACGACTGTCTTCCTTTTATTTTCATATCTATACTAATTATCCTTTCATTTATGGCTATCCAATATTTTACATAATTTATTATATTTTTTTCTTATTGCTACAGACACTCCCCTTTTTGCACTTTGGCCTTTATTTACAGCGCTGTAGTAATGAGTATATTCTTCTATTATTTCGTTTCCTTAACCGTTTTTCATTATTTCAATAAGTACCTGTATGTCCATTTTCCATTGTTTCAGTTCCGTAAAAGTTTCTAAAAATTTTTAATATTAGCCTAATAAATTGTTTAAATTATCGCACCTTTTTCTTAGTCTGCCAATACTTTTTCGTTCATTTAGTGACATCTCATGCTATTCGTATTTCCTATTCTCTGCCATTCTTACTAATGTGTTCGTTCCATTCCTGTTTCCGTTTTGTCACACATCCATTTATGTCTTCTATATTGCATGATCTTCTTATGTTTTCGCTTCTCTCCCTATCCAACAGACTTTTCTCTGATATTCGTCGGAGTATTTTCCTCTCTGTTGTTTCTAGTAGTCGTCTCGTTTTAGATGTGTCAGGTCTTGTCTCCTCTGTGTATGTTAATATAAATCTAATTGCTGCTTTATAGATTCTTGTTTTTGTGTCTTGTCTTAGGTGTTTGTTCTTCCAGGTTGTGTCATTAAGAAATACCGCCGCTTTACTTGCTTTTAAGCTTTGTTGTCGTACTTCTTCTTCAGAATCTCCGTTACTATGTAGTTATATCTATTCCCAGATATCTAAACCTTGCTTCTTCCTTTATTATTTTCCCATCAATTTCGATTTTACGTCGTAGTGGGTATTTAAATATTGTCATACATGGTTTTCATTAAATCTTTGTTTTACTCCTAGAACTATTTCATTTCCGATTCGTGCATTAAAGTCACCCAGAAGAATTAAGGGTTCTTCATGAGGTATTTCATCCAGGATGGTGTGCAATTGATCGTAGAATGCCTCTCGTTCCTCCTTAGGTTTGCAGTCCTCGGGGTTATAGATAGATATGACATAATTTGTGGTAGGTAGTCCATTGTGATGTTCATATGTACTATTCTTTCGAAGATAATAACGGCAGTTATTTACGTTGTCTTTTATGGACAAGTATACCTACATCTGCTTGTGTTCGTTCTTCCTTTCTTCACTTCTACTGTATGCCAGAAAATATTGGTCATAGCCTCTTTGGCTTTTACCTTTCTTATCGGTTTCTTGGATTGCATAAATGTCTATGTTTTTATTTATCAGTTCTTCTATTATCTCTTGGTCTTTGTTGTTGAAAGAAGTAATGTTCCATGTTGCTAATCTAATTGTGAGCTTATTTTTCCTCCTCGATTTTCTTCTCTATGTGTGGTTTGTCATCTTAGGTTCCGTCTGGTTCCCAGGCTTTATATTGGTTCTATGAGCCTTGTGTTCTTTTACAATGGGTAGGATGCTAACCTATCTCATCAACCCTTCTCTTTTATCCAGTACAGGTACCCATCCACTATACGGTATAGGTACCTATCCACTATAAACTGGGTTCCAGAATTCCCGAATGAGTATTCTGAATAAGTGAAAGATGTATTTACAAAAAGCCAATTGGCTGTAATATAACCAGTTTATACTAGACTTCTTACGAACAAAAAACCTTGGTATATCCAGGACTCGTGTCTTGGACCTCATCGCCCTTTTCGTAACAACAGTAAGTTCTGCGAAAGCTGGCTTAATGTGCTGAAAGTTTGCTTGTAGGACCCTAATTAGGATCAATGTCCTAAAAGCAAACCTCCTTGGTGCAGAGACAGAGTCCACGGCTGGAATCACTTCTCTATTTTGTCTCCTTTACATTTTTATTTATGTACTCAGTAGAGTCACTAGTTTCTGAGTCCTCTTCTGCCTATAGGCCGTTCCAAGTCTCTTCTTTTTGTATGCTAAATCCATTATTTCAATGTTCAATTATTTAATTTAATTTTTATGACTCCTATAACTTTTGTTCATATTGTTACTCTATTTTTGAGTAGGTATCTACTTATCTCCTCTCGTTACTGAGTTTTAGCTCAAATTTCATAATAAAAAGAAAGGTCAAGGATTGGGTAGGGATATTTAACAAATAACAATATTTTTTTTTAATTTTATTCCCTAATTGTCGCAACCCCTAGATTTTAACAATTTTCACAATTTATTTTTTCGTTTGTTATTCCAAATAGTCTATTGATTATTGTTTATTTAGCTCATATTTTCTAAATAACACACCAATTAATTAATCAGAACCAGTAAATGACATTTAATTGATAATTGTATAAATTCAGATAACATTTTATCAATATCCGCGACAAATCTGATACCTAAAAACGTTTGAATTACGGACCAGGAGCATTGAGTATTGAATTCAAGCTTCGATTTTATGTAACAGGTGGCAGCACGAATAATGATTAAATTAAAGTCAAAATCTAAACGTCATTCAGCTGATAACATAAACAACAAAGTGAATTTTAAAAAGGAAGAGTTGTTATTTAGTAGATATTATATTAGTGTAGGCTAAAAGCATTATGAATCAAGACAGATATTCTTTAATAGACAATACTGCCCATTCTAGTATCGTACAGGAATCTGGTTATGAATCTACGGTAATTATTGATATTTATTTATTATTAGACTTTGGGGTGTCTGTATTCACAAAATAAAAAACAATTTACTATTTTACATTGGCATACCATAGATTGTTGTTGTATAACAGTTTTTCTCTTTTTATTTGCGTTTGAGAAAGCTTTTTCTGTACATCAGTTAATTATCCCTATTACTTAATATTATTAATTAGGCTGAAATTAAAAATATTAAAAGTACAATATATTCCTAGTGGCCTAGTAGACACAGCAGTTTTAGTACAAACAACTTCAATCAGAAAAAACTGACTAGAAGTATATTTGTAGTAGAAGTATTGGAAGTATAGTATTTGCTCTTTTACACTATAAACTGCAGGTACCTAGCTTATTATGATTGCTAAACTGCATTTAATGTGTAAAATTGATTTGTAAGTAAAAAATAAGGAAAGCAGCGAAGTATATACAATAATTCCTATAGTTGGACTACTGAGAGAAACTCTAGTTGTTCTAAGTCTATAATTTTCATTTTCATATAAAGTACAACACTGTAATACCAATAAATAAATGTAACTCCAATAAATTATAAATATTGTTTTGACAAGTTTAATTTGATTTATATGCATAAAAGCAATGTAGTAGTAACACTAGTGGAGCAAAAATCGTAATAGATCACAAACACAGTCCAGAAATTGAAATCAGGAGAGTAGTTAGGCAGAGATGTATTATGTCCCCATTACTATTTAATGTATATAGTGAAGCCATTTTTGAAGAAGCATTTACAAGTGAAGGAATAATAATTAACAGAAGATCTATTAACAACATAAGATATGCAGATGACACCTTGATTATGGCAAGCTCTGCTGAACAACTCCAATTACTGCTGAATAAAACACAGTTTCTGTGAAAAATATGGACTAAAAATTAATATAAAAAAGACCAAATACATGATAATAACAGAGAAAACAAATATACCAATAAACATACATTTGGGAAATGTACCGATAGAAAGGGTTGATAAATACAAATACCTAGGAACCTGAATTTCAGACAATAATGATCAAACAACCCAAATAAGAGCTAGGATAGAAATAGCTAGAAATGCGTTTGTAAAAATGAGAACAATTCTCTGCAACAAAGATCTTAGATTAGAACTGAGAGTAAGAACACTGAGATGCTACATGTTTTCGATGCTGCAATATGGGCATGAAAGCTGGACATTGAAGCAAGAACACATAAATAAGTTACAGTTCTTTGAAATGTGGTGTTACAGGAGGATGCTTAGAATAGCATGGACACAGAAGAAAACTAACACAGAAGTATTGTGAGAAATGGACAAAGAATGCGAAATAAATAAATAAACACAAGAAAAATAAGAAAGTTACAATATCTGGGACACGTAATAAGGGGACAGCGATGTGAACTGCTAAGGCTGATAATACAGGGAAGGATAAGAGGAGGAAGCAGTATAGGAAGAAGGAGAGTGTCATAGTTAAAGAATTTAAGGGACTGGTTTAAATGCAGTTCTATAGAACTCTTCAGAGCAGCAATAGATAGAGTAAAGATAGTGATGATGATATCCAACCTCCGATTGGCACTTAAAGAAGAAGAAGAATGTAGTGGTACAATAATGATGCAAATAGAAGCACCAATAATAGAAGGGAGTTTAGAATGGTAAGAAGTAAGTAAAAAGCAAAAATACTCACATAGGTTGAAGATAGGAAGAGAAATACAAATTTTAATATTTTGCTTTTCAATAAACATTATTTTAAATAGTATAAAAATGTATCGTTAATATGCCACTGTCATTAACTGAAAATTTTCTGTCAAACTGTCCATGTATGCTTGACTCAATTCTAATTGCTCAAAAGAATAATTGATTTTTTTACATTGTAACAATAGTGGAGGCAAGTAGATGAGCAAGTGTCTTTTTGTTCATTTACATTTACTGTTTATGTGCAGAATTCGAATTTGATTTTCATGTTGTAAAACATGTTTTTATATGCATTCTTAAATGGGCGAAAAAAAATTCAACCACAATTTTGTGAGGTGAATTAAATTCAGACAAGATTTTGATGAGCAAGATGGTTTGCCTTTTGATCCCCTTTCAGCATTGCAAACAACTTATTGCCTAAAAGCAGTCACAAACAAAAGACCTACAATAGAATTAAAGAATACAAAAAATACTGGTCTGACAAAGAACAAGAGAAAAGTGTTTGAAGCTAATGATGAAAAATAGATGGAATAAAGTAGGAAATAAATTATAAAAAGCAATGAATTATTTAATGTACAGTGCAATGTACAGTCAATTTACAATGAAATGCATTTTTTCAGATTTAATTAATGCCTTGTATTTACGTAAATAGTGCTATCAACATTGTTAATATTCAACAGAATATTAACTTGCCGATAAATTTATTTAAAATTGTAAAAATATATATAATTTCAAAATTTAAATCATACTCAGCTTGTGGTTTAACAGTTAGCTCACTAGAAAACAACTTGCAGTTGTATTTTGTGTCAAATTTATTGCACAAAAGTTTTGAAAACAAAATCTAAGACCAATTTAAAAGTCTAAAATAAAGTATCTAAAGTCCACTTTGTAATTAACTTTGTCGTTCAAAAGGCTCTCCGGAAAGATATTGTGCCATTTTATCTCGACTTCTTGTTCTAGGACTTTTTCTACCATTATGTAAATCGCATTTTTTACACCAATCTTTTACATACTGGGGAGAATTGATCCAGTAAAATATGTCTCGGACTCTGTCAAGTGTACTTTTGATATGAAAGTCAAGAAAAATTGATATGAAGTTCTTGCAATACACTTTTAATGTGTGATATTGGCCAATTGTTGAACTGTATGTACTCTATCGAGAGTTCCCACTTCCGATGTAATAGACCATTAGAAATATACAAATATCATTGAGCCCAGTATGCCTTTTTAGTTTCACTACATTTGGATATTTCCATTATTTTGACCCTTTTTGAGGGTTTCCAAAGAAGTCTGATTACATTCCAGTTACATTATCTTTTTCTTTAAGTTTTTTACAGTGCTGCCATCGTCGTTCCAAACAGGGGGTCCCCATAGAAAAACTATCGGCATTGTTATGAAGATGTCCCTTTTAATGAACTACGTGAAGTTACCCGTTGGAGTCTTCATCTACCGAGCAACTAGCAATTTGTCCTGGCTTTTTAAAATTCATTAGCCCCTACAAAGCGATACGGTCCTAATTATAAAATTTCTATTATAAAGGAATGTATGAAAATGTTCTAGGGCTTTTATAATAGCTAGGAGCTTGTTTCTGGTGTTGCAGTAATTCTTTTCAGCCTTTCCTATTGTTCTAATAAAATATGAGATTCTGAGATGCGTACCATCTTCCTGTGGATTTAGAACATGTGCTGTTGTTTGTCGTTTTTATAAATCTACGAAAGCATTTTGACAATTCGGTGTCCACTAAAATCATCGAACAAAAAGACAATGTTGTTTTCAGTTAATTGATAAAGGGGCTTAGCAATGCGACCAAAACTTCTAATCAATTTTCGGTAATATGTATAAACAAAATCCAAGAAAACTTCTAATTTCCTTTTTATTTCCTAGCTTAGGCCAATCTTTAAGAACTGAAATCTTCTCTGGATCAGTTTTAATTCCTTCTTTAAGTTTAATATTAGTTTTAATTAAATCCAACAATTTATAGGAAAAAAGCAAACTGCCAGTTTAAACGGCTTTTAACGAACTAGGGTGAGTTGTTTCTGAACATAATTTTAGCAATAATAAAATTAAAGAATAAAAAATTCTTGATGATATGTTTGATTAAAGGGACTTTTTCTATATGCAATATATCGTACGGAACTGCCGTAACAGTATCTAAAAAAATTTTTCTGCTGGACCGGCTGATAGCGACCAGTAAAAGGTCCTTCCAGAGGCGCAGGCGAAAACTGGCCAATGGCCTTAAATTTGTATATACTTTTGACATAGTTTTTGGTCTTTACAGGAAAACTCAGATGAAAAACCTGCCAAATTCCGTCAATATCTTGCTGCATTTTCAGGTAAGTTTTTCATTTATATTGCAAAAAATTTGCTATATAATTTAGGTGCCATCTTAAGTTAATTACAACAGCAATATTTTTTTACCACTAAAATGTACCAAATCTGTGACACTAACTTCCTCTATGATTTTCATCACCAAAAAGTGCACAAAGGGGCAAACGAGAGCGGGAGAAATGGTCCTTCGAGGATTAGAATGTTGGGCAAAAGGTTAACGACCTCTTCCCTTAAAAAAACTTGTTTTAGTGTTATGAAATCACAAAGAAGAAAAGCCGGACTGTTAAATTCACGACGACCTAGCAAACGACAAAGAAATAACGATTTATTGATCTTGTCGTCTCAGCGGAAAGTAAGACCTATAACATCGTCTACTCCGCTGTACGCTCTGCACTAGGATATTCGCGTATAGCTTGCGAAATATCCTAGGCACTTATCCAATGAAGGTTAGGACGTGGATTAAAAGTATACTGTGTCCTGAAAAGGACACAGTTATTTCTTACAAGTCGAAAATTTGACTGATGTCTTGAAAAAGACACAGTTAATTCTTTCTTACAGAAAAGGACTGTCTTAATAAAGACAGTCGAATTTCTTACATGAACAAATAGTAGGTTTCTTGCGTGCACTTGCACCGAAGAATGTAGAAAATAAAACACAGTTTATAGCAGACAAACAACCTCAGAGTCTAAGGTGAAGTGGAATGTGAGGCAGAGCCCCGGTGATCGGCTCCCTAGAGTTTCAAGCTCTAGGAGAGACCGAGGTAGGAACTGGACTGACTTTGGCCTGGAATTCGACTCATATTATACATAATATTTCATATGAATTCCAAACCAAAAGACCAATGAAAATTCAGAGAAAGGTAAGGTGGGCGGGGCGAATGCACATCAAGTGTTCGTTGTTGATCGATAGCTATCTGCACTTGATGACAATCTGCACATGGAACGTATGAACCCTTTAGCCCCAGGCGCTCATAAATTGCTAACACAAAAACTAAATTAAATGAAAGCCGATGTAATTAGCGAATGATTAAATTTATGCGATTCAAGAGATGAGGTGAACTAGTTCAGGAATTATCGAGAGAAAATACTACAATATATACCATAGCGGACGTAGCCCCCGACACGAGTTTGACAGTGATTTTCTGGTCAGTAAAAAAATCAAAGCAATACTTTAAACCCATAAACAACAGGATATGTTATCTACGTCTTAAAGGAAAATTCTTTAACTGCTTACTTAGTGTACACGCATGCACGGAAGAAAATGAAGACGACGAAAAAGATGAATTCTACGACACCTTAGAGAAAGAATATGATCGATGTCCACGGCATGATGTGAAAATAATTGCTGGGAACCTTAATGCAAAAATTAGTCAGGAGCAATTTTTCAGCCAACTATAGAATGTGATAGCTTACATGAAGAGTCAAATTATAACGGGTTGAGGCTAATAAATTTTGCAAGCACTGAAAACATAATATTAATAGGAACAAGATTTCACCATAAAATTATATACAAAGGAACATGGAAATCACCTGACAAAAATACCGTTAACCAGATGGATCATATACTCATAGATGCAAGACATTCTTCCGACCTCATGGATGTGAGAAGCTACACAGAAGCTGTACAGAAGCTAAATCAGGGAAAGAATATCAAACCTAAAGAAGGATAAACATATAAAATAAGACAGAATTAATGTTAATATTCTGCGTCTTGAAACCGTTACGAGAGAATATAGGAGTCAAATGAAGAGCCTGGAGGCGGTGGAAAATGTGGAGGAATTGTGAACAAAACGTAGAAACATGTAGAAATATTTTGGAAAACCAAACCAGTTAAACAAAACGAATGATTTGACGAGGAATACCAAGAAGCAACAGATAGCAAAAATAGAGTATACCTAAAGACAAATCAAGCTGTATGCACAAGAACAACAAACAAGGAATACCGGACCCTAAGAAGAGAAGATTACATAGAAGAAAAACAAGACAATATGAAGAAAAGCAGTTGGAAAGCATAGAAGAGCTAAGAAACTCAAAAGTTTTACAGAAATCTAAACAAAATAAGTAAAACGTTTAAGCCACAATAGGGAGCATAAGGATGGGGAAGGAAATATCTTAAGTGATACGGGCTCAATCTTGAACAGATTGGTTGGGTTTTTCGACGCAACATATAATGGTCATCATATCGAAGAAGCAGGTAACACCCTAGAAGATCGAAATGATCGGAATCTATTTGACCCAAACGAAAGACCACCTACCACTGAAGAGGTTGCCCAAGCGATTAAAAAGTTTAAAAATAATAAATCACCAGGAATTGATCAAATTTGCAGTGAGCTTTGCAAGAAAATAATAAATCACTAGGAATTGCTCTAGGAATCACTAGAATCACTGCTACAAACACTGCATAAACGTGTGAATGGTCTTAAGGCGTGATATGCCGGTTACATATAAAAAGGCGATCAGCTCCAGTGTGACAACTACAGAGGTATACCAACTGCTTACAAAATACTAGCAAATATTCTCTACGAAAGGCTACAAGTTTACGCAGTGGGCATAGTTGGAAAATACCAGGCCGGATTTATTCCAGAAAAATCAACAATTGACCAGATTCATTCAATAAGACAGATCCTCAAGAAAATACAATTTAACATTGAAACCTGTCACTTACTCGTCAACTTTAAGGCCGCATATGACAGTGTCAAGAGAACAGTACTATACCAATCAATGCGTGAGTTTGGTATATTAAAAACTTATCCTATTAACGAGAATGACAATATCTAACTTAAAAGCCAGTGTTAGGATACAGAGAGAAAATTATCTCCTTTGAGATAAAGGATGGACCCAGACAATGGGATGCCCTGGCTTGTATCCTATTTAACATTGCCTTGGTAAAGGCAGACAAAAGACACGAATTAGATCGATACAAATCTTAGCATAAGCTGATAACGTTGACTTAATAGGGCTTAGCGAGCGAGATGTTGAGCAATATTTCCTAGAATTGGAAAAGCCTAGTCATTAAAGAAGACAAAACCAAATACATGTTGGTTATACTATGAACTCAAAAAACAATTCCACTCAAGAAATTGTCAAAGAAAGACTAACATTATTATTACAAAACACTGCTGAGGCCGATATAGACCGGAAACACGGACTCTAACGCAGAAGGATGAAAGACTTCTAGGAATATTCGAGCGTAAGATACTACGCAAAATATTTCAAGCTATAAAAGATCAATGGAAGTGCGCAAAAGATATAATTTCGAATTCTACTAACTCTTTTATGAACCAGAGATCTAGGACAATTCCCCAAAAACAGTTTCCCGAAAGACAAATCCCCGAAAGCAATTCCCGTAATGGACAATTCCCCGAAACACAAATGGACAATTGCACGAATAGACAATTGGCCGAAAAGAGAATTAACAGAAATATATATTTTAATAGTTATTGCTTTACTTGTATTTCCTATATACTAATACGGTGACTTACCTGCTATTTAAATAGTTACTACTGCGTAGATTGTGTTCGACCTAGCTATATCGTTAATTAATTTAAATATATATTTGATTTTTATATGTATTGCCTATATACTAATACGATAAATTATGTGCTATTCCCCGCAAGAATTGGGAGAAAAATCCTTTGCTAATTACATTTTAATGATTTCTTTAACAAAGTGATCAAACTGCTAACGAGCTTTCTAAATATTCGATTATTTGTTTTCTGTTCTTTTTGATAATAATATCTTAAAATAAATTTTATTTTACCTGAAGTTGAGAAATCTCACTCTTTAATTCTATATAAGTACACCCTATTACCAGAGATTACAATCTGTGTCATTAGTCTTAATACTAACCAAAACAACTAAATTTCATATAAATACTTAAACGAAAGTTTTTTATTGTCAAAACTCTGAGCTTGGGTCACGACGCAAAATGACTTTGGAGTGTGTACTTAGTGAAAAGGGTAAGAATAAATTATTGATCGACGGTTATCTTTACCAGAAAAATAAAGAACAGCAAAACATTTGTTGGAAGTGTGATTACTACAAGACATTCAAGTGTAAAGCTCGTGTTATAACCTTAGAAGATGCAATAGTAACAATAAGTGGGACACACAACCATATAGCGGATGCAAGGCAAGTGGAAAAAATAAAAAATTTTAATGGAATACGTGAAAACGCTACACAAACCCAAGATGGGCCACATTATATAATATCCACTGAATATCTTAAGCTTAGTCAAGCTACAGCTTCCAAAAGTGACCAGCGTTAAATGAACAATAAGGCGTGTACGAAGTAATCAGCAAGCCGCTCCGGCTTTACCGGCATTGTTTTTCCAGAAGAGTATAAACTAACACAAAATGGAGAAGAATTTTTTACTATTTAATTCAGGCCCACACGATGATCGGTTGTTAATTTTTTCAACAAGAGAAAATCTGCTTCTTCCGGCAAGGTCACAACACTGGTTAGCCGACGGAACTTTCAAAACTGTACACCACCTTTGTTATCAACCATATACAATCCACGGATTAGAGAAGAACACTACGATTCCTTTGGAGCTTCGCCTGCAATCAGATTAACAGATTTTGAAAGCGGTATGATAAGTGCTATAAGACAAGAATATCCCGACTCAAGACATCGTGGGTGCTTTTTCCATTTCACTCAATTTCTCTTTAGAAGAATCCAGTCAGACTATTTAAAAATAAGATATGAAACTGATTCAGATTTTGCTTTAAAGCTCCGATTATTGGCGGCCTTAGCATTCGTTCCTACTGCAGACGTGGTGGAGGTATTTGAAACGATTTACGAGCAAGATGTGTTTCCAGCAGAAGCCCAGTCAGTAATTTGCCCTTATTTGCATATGTTCTATGAAGTTGTTATGATGGGGTCCAAGAAAGTTTACCAAAAACAAACAACTCCATAGAAGGATGGCATCGAGGGTTTGAGCAACAGATTTCCGCAGATCATCCAAACATTTGGAGATTTATTAAAAGCATTCAGCTGGAGGAGAGCTTACATAAACTTCAAATTTGAACAGTATATAGGAGTTTTGGAAGGCCCTCCTGCACGTAAAAAATATAGAGATTGTGCAGAGCGGATTGCTAGTCTGGTAAACAATTACGGCCTTGCGAACACTTATTCTTGTGGGGAATAGCACAAAATTTATCGTATTAGTATATAGAAAATAGGTACAGTTGCGGTCACGGAATAGTTTACACCTTACTTTTTATATTGTAATACTGTAAAATTGCAGTGTCGTACGGATTTGATAAATGTCAAAGTCAAAAAATTTCAAAACGTCAATGCTTTCGCGAGTGTTCAACAATAAAATAAAAGTATATTAAACTCTTTCAAAATGGTTAGAATACATTTGAATTATGCGCAAAAAGCAAGAGCAATTGCCAAACTCGAAGAAGGTTGGTCACTAAGGCAAGTTGCTGCTGATTTGAACGTGAGTCATATGTGCATATGGAAGATTAAACAAAGATGGGATAATTTTCACTCTATAGCACGGTTGGGCGGTTCAGGAGGGCAGAAGATTTCCACAGATCAACAGGATGAGATGTTAGTAGATTATTTGAGAGAATCTCCTTTTGCCACAGCTCAAAAGGCAAGAGAAGAGGCAGCGTTTCCAGGCAGTATTCGCACTGCACGTCGAAGAATTAAAGCAAGTGGACTGCTAAATTGTGTAGCTGCACGGAAACCTTTTTTGACTGAGGATCACAAGAGGAGACGAGTTGAATTTTGTAATGAATTTATAAACCGCGATGAGAATTTTTGGTCTAGGGTTGTATTTTCCGATGAAAAAGTATTTCAGTCGTATAATAATGGTCGAATAAGAGTTTATAGGCCGAGAAATCATAGATATGATGAACAGTATACGCATCATTTAAGAAATAGTGGAGGATTCTCTGTCAACGTATGGGGATGGATAAGTGCCGAAGGCCCGGGCGTTTGTTATCATGTAGAGGAGAAGTTAACAGGATTATATTACAAACATATTATTGAGCACACAAGATTCCCCAACAACGACTTTATCTTCCAACATGACAATTGCCCGGTGCATACGAGTAGAATTGTTCGAGAATGGCTAGAAGAAACTGATGTTAATGTTCTTCCGTGGCCTTCCCGTAGTGCAGACTTTAACCCCGTCGAAAATGTGTGGGCAGAGTTAACAAAGAAACCTTAGACCACGGAATAGAATTGAATTATGGGAAGCAATTGAGCAGGCATGGGAAGAGCTTGTTAACTATAACATGAGGGGATTGGTGCTATCTATGAACAGCAGACTGCAAAATTGTATTGACAAGAATGGGGCTTCCACCAAATATTAATTATTATTTATCATTGTTTATCGTTATTTAATATAAAATAGATTTAAAATAAAATGCATATTAAAAAAAAAGACTTCTTTATTTTCGTTATTAAGATCATAATCCATTTTATTCAAAAAACTGTTTTCTATATTTTTCATTTTGTAAAATATTTTGATATTTTAATTTTAATCTACCTATTCTAGCTAGTACACCACTGGCAACGTCACTTTGACGTAAAAGGTGCGTTTAAACGAAGTAAAAATTTTAAAAAATGGGCTCCTAGATACGTGAACCTGTAAACTATTCCGTGACCGCAACTGTACATATAAAGATCATATGCATAAATAAATTTTAAAAAATTAAAATAAACTGTAAAAAAATTAAAAAAAAAATAAAAGATTTAAAAAAATTAATAAAAAATAAAATAAACTGTAAAAAAAATTCAAAAAAATAAAAAATAAATAAATAAATAAAAATATATGATAATATTCTTCATAATATATGAAGAAGAACAATAGCAATATGTACAGTTTCTCATGACTCACTATGTATGTCAAAAGTGTGTCATAATTAATTATTATATTTTTTTAGCAACTTTGTCAGCTTTGGCTGCTGGTACCGTACTGGCATGGACTTCTCCGATTCTAAATGACCTGGAAAATGGCAAGTACAACAATATTAAATTAGACAGCAACCAAATGGGATGGATTGGATCGTTCGTAACACTCGGTGGAATGGCGATGTGCATACCGACAGGCTTCATCTGTGATATAATAGGTCGTAAGAAAACTCTGTTGTTATTATGTATTCCCTTCACGCTGGGGTGGTTGCTGATAATATTTGCTAACAACGTGCTGATGCTGTATTTTGGCAGACTAGTGACAGGAACTGCTGCAGGAGCTTGTTGTATAGCAGCTCCTTTGTACACAAGTGAAATCGCCCACAAATCATTGCGAGGAACTCTAAGCAGTTATTTTCAACTGATGGTTACCGTGGGAATATTTCTGGGTTATTTAGTAGGAAAATACCTAAATGCTTTATATTTTACAATCTGGTGTGCCTGCGTTCCTTTTGTTTTCGTCGTTTTCTTTGTGTTCCAGCCTGAATCGCCTGTATATTTATTAAAACGAGGACTCTTCGATAATGCCAAGGGAGTTTTAATTATTTTACGGGGTAGCAAGTACAAAGTCGATGCAGAACTTAACGAAATTGAAGGATATTTAAAGGAAAGCGGCCAAGCAACTATTTCCCTAACTGAAACTTTCAAACAAGGATCTGTTATTAAGGCTTTTGTTATATCTTCCTCTTTGATGTTTTTTCAGCAATTTAGTGGTGTAAACGCAGTTATTTTGTACACTACTGATATATTTAAGACGTCTGGAGTGCACCTGGATCCTAAAACTGCTTCTATTATGGTAGGACTTTTTCAAGTTTTAGCTACTTTTGCAGCTTCTTTGGTTATAGATAAACTTGGTAGAAGAATATTATTGTTTATATCTGCATTGTTTGTTACCGTAAACCTATTTCTTCTTGCTATTTTCTTCACTCTTAAATACAGAACCGATATAAGCGACAATATTATTGAAAAATTAGGATTTATACCGGTAGGAGCCTTATGCCTGTTTATAATAGCTTATTCTCTTGGACTGGGACCAATTCCGTGGGTAATATCATCCGAAATATTTCCCACAGAGATTAAGAGTATCACTAGTTCTACAGCAGGTACCGTTAACTGGTTTTTGGCCTTTATACTTACAAGGTTTTACCTTCAAGTATCCGATTATATAGGACAAGATAGTACGTTCTATATTTTCGGATTTGCCTCAATGATAGGAATATTCTTTGTTTATATTTTCGTTCCGGAGACTAAAGGTAAAAACATTTTAGAAATACAGGCTGCCTTGAACAACAATCAATAGTAAATTCGTGACGGTTTTATTGAGTGTCAAAAAAACAATTATTATGTAAGTTGAACAGTGTTGGAATAGTATCCTCACAATATTTCCTTTGGTAAATATCAATGGGCAACCGTGAAGCATGTTTTCTTGATTTGAAAATGGCTTTCGATAAGAAAACTACGCGTTCGATTAATACAATGTATGTTTGCCAAATCTATCCACGCATAAACAAATACAGCCTAGATATGAAGCATAAACAATATTGTAACCAACTTGAAGATCACAATATAGAGTTTTATGGTTTTGATTTTTTTTTATATTGTTAAATCTACATAATCCTTTATTGTTAGCCGTCAAAGGTATCAGTAAGAGCTGTTTATCGACTGTCTGTAGGTATCGACCTCAAGAGAATTTATAGCGGATTATCATCATCGTCGTCATTGTTGGAACGGTCTTAGTTAAACCCTGATCTTCCTAAATCTGTTCTCCATTCCGTTCTATAACTTGTAGCCTGGTACTTCTTTACCACACCGATTTTCCTGACATTCTTATCCATACCATTTTGTTTTGCTAATAGAGTACGTCTTGCAGTACCAGATGTCCTGCCCACTTCTTCTTTAAGTTCCATCTTCTGTCGAAGGTTGGAAATCATTATGGCTATGCGGACTCTGTTGACTGCCGCTCTAAATATAAAGCCACGATATTCTTCGTCTTGCCACATTTCGCTTTTCTCGAATTCTGCCTTGCATAATAAGCTACAATAATAATTATCTTTGCCCTCTCATAGCCTAAGTACTGAAATTTTCTTCTTTTGATCTTCTTCTGATGCTGTATTCTGACTCCTCTTTGTATTTTAATATCTCGGGTATTCTGATTGTCTACTTTTACGTTGACAATTTGATTCCAATATAAATCAGATATAATTTTCATATCACGACTGTCAATATTTTTTTACAAGCTTTTTATGTTGAACCTTATCAAATACCTTTTCAAATCTACAAAACATAAGTACATGTCCTGATTTTAGGAGAAGAGGTTTAAAGAAACTTTATTCTGTAAAAAAAAATTAATATAAATAACTACCTTAATGTTTCAACGAGTTTTTCTTCGGGTGAAATCCTATCCATTTTCACATGGTGATAAGCATTCTTTTAATCAAGTTAACAGTTCATCAAAAGATGTTATACTCATTCGGAAATAGTTCAAAAACTTTGGATGGTATTTTTTTAATTTGGGGTATAGAGTCAGAAGAAGGATGCACCCACCATCTTCTTTGTCGTCTTTGCCTTGCTCTGAATCTACGGTGAACAACCAAATACATGCTAAGTCCTTAACTGTGCTGGCTTTCGACATTCTGGTAAACCGCGGCGCTAAGCACTGTCGTGTGTACGATACCACTTTTTTGTGCGCTCAACACGGCGTCTAACGGCCTCATGTGTACAGGCCCTAAGAAACTGCCACCACATAATCGTTCGCATGACAGTACGTACCTAAGCGGAGCCATTCGCTAACGTTAGAATCTTTTAACTGTATTAAGTTTAATTGTTAATTATTAATTGATATTATCTCTCTCTTCAATCCTGGCCCCCCAGGGGGAGTGTAGTGGTCGACGTGATGCCGTGTATTGTTCGTCTCCAGAGATCTCTGTCTCTGGTTATTTCTTTTAATTCATGCATAGGTCTTTGGCATATTCCTGTAATTTGATCTATCCATCTTGTCGTGGATCTTCCTCGTGATCTTCGGCCTTCTACCTTTCCTTGTATTATGAGTCTTTCTATGTTTTCTGTGTTTGCTCTCATAACATGCCCAAAATATTTTAGTTGTTGGAGATGGACTTTACTAGAGAGTCGTTGGCTAACTTTTAGCTCTCTTAAAATTGAATTATTTGTTCTACGGTCGGTCCAACGAATTCGTAACATTCGTCTCCAACAGAACATTTGTGGCGTCTATCTTTCTTCTCTCCGATTGTCTCAGAGTCCAAGATTCACATCCGTAGGTCAGTATTGGGAATATTAAGCAGTTAATCAACCTCATCTTTATCGCTCTTGAAATTTGACAGTCCTTCCATATTTTGGTCATTTTTGCTGTGGCAACTTTTGCTAGATCACATCTACGTTTAATCTCTTCTTGTAATGACCCTGTTTTTGTGATTAATGATCCCGGATATAAGTATGAGCTCACAACCTCGAACCGGTCAATTGTGGTTATGTGTGGATGATTGTTGTGTAGTCTATCCACTATCATGATCTTTGTCTTTGATATGTTTAATTGCAGACCAAATATTTGACTTTCGTTTTCGATCAGTCGTATAAGCTCTATCAGCTCTGCTTGACTATTTGCAAGAAGGGCTGTGTCATCTGCGAAACGTAGGTTGTTTAGTTTATGACCATTTATTGACATGCCCTTTTCCCATCCTTCAAGTGCTCTTCGCATAATATACTCCCCATATATGTTGAATAATTGTGGAGATAGTATACATCCTTGTCTGACACCCCGTTCTGGATGAAACTCGTTCGAAAGTGTGTCAAATACTTTAACTGATCCAGTAGTGTGTTCATATAGTTCGGTTATAAGCGTAATTAGATGTTGTGGTACGCCTACTTCTTTTAGTATTCGCCATAAGTGTCTCCGCTTGACCCTGTCGAACGCTTTATGGTAATCTATAAAACAGATGTATAGTGGGATGTTGAATTCCCTAGATTTCTCGATTATCTGTCTTATATTCAGCAGGTGTTCTCGAGTGCCTCTACTTTGGTAAATCCAGTTTGCTCTTGTGGAATTTCTCTTTGAAGGAATGTTTTCAGTCTCTCATTGATTATATGTAGCATTATCTTGCTGGCATGGGATATAAGAGAGATAGTTCTATAATTGTCGCATTTATGGAAGCTGCCTTTTTTATGTATGGTCGTTATTGTAGATTTTGTCCAGTCTTCAGGCCATTGTTTGGAATGCCATATTTGGTTACAGAGTAGATGAAGTAACTTTACGCCGGTTTCTTCTGTGGCTTTAAGCATTTCTGCTGTTATCATATCTGGACCTGGTGCTTTGTTATATTTGAGCTTGTTGATAGCCTATCTTACTTCATTTTCGAGTATATCAGGTTCTTCTTCCACCTCGTCAGAGATTTGGCTAACAAGCTCTTGGCGTTGATCATCTTTATGTAGGTCCCTGCAATACGATCTCCATGTCTCTGCTATGTCTTCTCTGTTTGTTCTCAGGGTTCCAGTGTTATCTTCAATGGCCCAAGTTCTGGCTCTGAAGTCTCTTGTCAGGTAGCGTATTTTTCTAAATAGATCTCTCGGCTGATTATTCTGACCATGTCTCTCAATTTCTTTGCATATACTTTGATAGTACTGTTTTTTGTCGGCCTTACATCTTCGTTTTATTTCTTTATTGAGGTTTCTTAAACTAGCTTTTTCCCTTTCACTATGTACACCACTTTTACACAGATTTCTACTATTCTCAATTATTTTAAGAGTTTCATCTGTTATCCAGTGTTTCCGTTTCACCGGATTATTTTTCTTTGAGCGATCCACTGGTGTTGTTACGCAATGTTTAACAGTCTCCCATATTTCTTGTGATGTTCCGTTACGAATAGAGGGCATACTTTTCTGTACTTCCTGGTCTTCTTTCTTTCTTTCTTAGTTCTATCCTCTTTATCTCTCTTTGTTTGTTGGGTGCTTTAAGTTTAAGCATTACTTTAGCTACGAGGAGAGTATGATCGGATCCGCATATCGCCCCTGGATATGATCTGACTGTTTGAATGGACGACCTCCAGCGAATATTGGTGAGGACGTAATATATTTGATTTCTAAATCTATCTCCAGGACTTTTCCAAGTATAAAGTCGACGTACATGGTGTTTAAATCGAGTATTCATGATAGAGTAGTTGTTTGTGATAGCAAATTCGATTAAACGGTCTCCTCTTTCGTTTCTCTGCCCTATGCCAAACTTTCCCAGTACATTCTTAAGTCGTCATTTTGTGTAGTGTTGCCAACTTTTGTATTAAAGTTAAAATTGATATTATAAAAAACGTTAAAAATAAATTATTACTATAATGAAACGATATTATTAAGTGACAGTTCTATAATAGTCTGGAAAATCAATGGGTTTTGATACCTAATACATTAAGAAACTCTAAATCTCTGTCGTTATTTGATCCAGATTCCAAGATTCGAGTGAATAATTTAGATAGAGTTAAAATATTTAAAAACTCGAATATCAGATCTGTATTTCTGTTTCAATTGTATTATTTAGAAGCAGGTGAATACTTTTTATTCCTTTAAATATAGAAAATGTTTAATATTTTATATTATTAATACGTAATTGATATTTGTGTTCATGTTCTATACTTTATAGTAAAGAACCTTCTATTTATATCTAAACAGAAGGCATTTAGATGTATTTTTAAGTTTATTTTATATATTAATTTTATAAAAAGACGAATCCATCAATTATTATAAAAAGACGAATCCATCAATTATTATAAAAAGACATTTATACATACCGCAACTGTGATAAAACAGCCCCTGGCGATTAATTTTACAAATATATGGCACAATACCTTTGCTCATCAATTTGTAGTTGACTCTAATACCATCAACATGTGAGTAAAGTGCTGTGATCACATAATTATTTTATTTAGTTCATACACACATAACTGTTCTTCTTCTACCGTTAGATGTCGAGGGAGGTGTGTCTAGCTCATGGACGTATACGTCCATGGTCTAGCTTTTGATGAATTTTCTCCATTCCTCTTTGTTCTTCGCCATTTGTGTTGCTTTTTGTCAAGATTTTCTCTTATTTTGTAATATCTCTACTATGTCGCTGTTTCACTCTTTTATAGGTGTGCCTTTTCTAGTTTCCCCTATTGATTTAGCTTCCCAAAATTTTTTTACTTGACTGTTACTGTCCATTCGTGTTTTATGACCGAACGATGCTAACTTTTTCATTTATTGTGTCAAGTAACGGTTTAATTTTTAGTTTCCTTCTTTCTTCATGTCTGAGTCTGTCTGTCCTTGTAATGAAGGGATAAGGACAGACAGACTCAGGATACAAGCAGCAGAGATGAAATACCCTAAGGTAGGCAAGATGTTTCATCTCTGCTGCTTGTATGTTACTCTGGTGTCTTCTGTTTCAACTCCAGCTTTCTGCTCCGTATATCAACTTTGGCCTATTAGACCGAAGTTAGGAAATAAGTTTTTTTCGTCTGCTGAATCGGCCAGGCAAATGACAGTTGTTTTGAGGAGTAACAGTCTGTAACAAAAATCTATACGTTTCCTGTAGTCGATTTTTTGGACAATTTATTATTAATAAATTAAGGTCAAAGAACGATAAATTTTCACTTTTTTTGTCTACCAGCAAAAAGTGAAACATCTGAAACAAATTTAAGAGAAATAAACTTAAAAGTCATATCAGAACCTTCAAAATGGCATTTTTAAAATGATTAGATATATCCTCATTTGCTGCTTAGAAAGTTGCAAAATAAGTTAACAATTTCGTTTTTGTATTAATTACTATTTCAAAATTAACTTAGAACCTTCATTATACACGAAATGTTGGGTCTTGTAGTGCTTAAAATATTTCGCCCATCTGTTTAATTTTTCTGTTGTTTCACCTAGAAGTAAGCCTTCTTTGTTTCTGCAATACTGTGAATTATTCTTTGTAGTTTCTCTGGATTTCTTAACTTCTTGGTAGAAATTTTTTACCTCTTTGTTTATGTAGGCTTTTTCTATGTTTTTCAATTGCTTTTCTAGCTGTTCTATTTTTCTGGAAATTCTTTTCACTTCCTGCTTATTGCTACATAGTTTTCGATCGCATTTTGCGTATTTTCTTTATCTCTTTGTAGTTTTACGCTGTTTCTTCTTGTCAAAACATTCCTACATTCTTCATCGAACCAGTCTTGCCGTCATTTTATAGACCCTCTTCCTATACACTTTTCCGCTTTTTCCGACATGGCTGCCTGTATGGCCTGCCACTCTTCATCTATATCCTGTTTGACTGGATTCTCTAGTTATTTATTTTTTTCTTTAGTCTGTTAACAACCGTATAAAAATGTAATTAAAAAAGTGGTGGTGCATAATTTAGTATACGTGATTTATAGATTTACGTAGTAATTCTAACAAAGCTGATTTCATGAGTATTAACGATAAAGTTGATGAAAAATTTCATTTGTGAATACTTTACCATTTTAAAAATAACTCAATTGAGTACTACCTCTGCAACATTGTGATGTTTTTGCGTGTTTTTGTTAAAATGTCTTTACTTATTATTTTTATTAATGTACCAACTAGTTTTTAGTTAATAGATAATATAAATGGTGTTTTTTTTAAGATATAGAACTTTGAAACGGAGTAAAATAAAGATGCGATAAATCATTTGACAGCTGTCAAAATGGCCAACAGTTAAAAAAGTGTTACCAACTTATTTTTCTATGCCTCTAAAAAACACCCTTTATTACATTTAACCTTGTTATTTAGTTTTCCAATTCGATACTGATTTTTTTAATTTGTTTGTAATTTTGGTACTTTTATACTTAACTAAAAATATTTTAACTCTTTACAAATGTCTTACAGGGAAACTATTATTATTATTATTGCCAATGTCTCACAATGCACTTATTAATTTTAGTATCATTATGTAAATAATATGTAGGATCTTCTTCCAGTGACGAAT